ACAGCCACCTGTCACACAGCCCTTTCTTTTAATAGAAAAGCACATTGGTATCATCGACATTCTACAAAACTTGCTGGACAAACTTTGGATGATGATTCCCACCGGTTTATCTGGTTCACAACGTACTGCAGCCATGGGATCCTGCTCGCTTAAGACAGCCAGAACCAAGGCTCCATCTCTTCTGCATAATTTCTTCTGCTCAGCTATTCCTCTCGGTGCATTACAGACGTCGCTTGCTGCCTGATGGCTGCAGCAAGCAGCTTGTCCGTGGTAATCTGCTCTTGGTCAACAAGCAGCAACTTTCTAAAGGGTTTTGATGGTTTCATTTTTGCTTTGAAGTGACACAAACTGCTGGCAAATACAGAAAATAAATAAATATTTATCCTGATTTGCCAAAGGCGGAACATGCCAGGTTCACAGGTTGCACAGGGCATCAGCGTAACATGCTAGGACCAAGCAGAGCAGCACCTGTACACCTACATGGGAGCTGTACATAGGACTGTAAGCTGCAGTACTTTGCCACGATTCCTCATTGCACCATCTCTGCAGAAGCCATAGAGAATGAGGCCGTGTAGGTAAAACCACGCTGAAAACTTAGAGGCTTTGTACACTATTGTGAAACACGCAGAGTGCCAGAGGAAGTTCATTAAGCAAAAGAACAACATTTCTTTTTCGGGCTGACAAGGCACACAGCACACAGCTATGTTTTTGAGCCAATTTTTGCCATCTAGAGGTGGCTACTTAAAGCCTGCATAATCTAAGCTGGAGGGGATGGAGGTTTACCAATACCTAGCCAGGCAAACTCCCATCCCTGAAGGCTTTACAGTCTGATCCAGAGAGGAACAAACAATTAAGAACTTGGTTTCAAAGCAGGAAGTGAACTCAGCAATGGGGAACGCTAAGCAGATGAAAAAACAATGTGATTTTTATAAGGGATTCAGAAGAGATGAAGTAGATTAGACTGCTTCTTCTCTGCACTAAGTACTTGAAACATGTTGGGAATTAGAAAAAGCACATAAACATATACAATGAAACATCAACAACTGCCAAGCTGCAGCGCTTGGCAGCTTCCAGCATGAACTATATGTCAATTAACCTTGAAGACTGTGATCATTTAGTGCTTTTCTTCTTTAGTAAGCTATGTTTTGCAGAAACCTACATAGATCACAGCACCATCAGAGGACACTTGCAAATCTTATTAACGTCAGAGGCCAATCTAAAAGCACCTCAGCAAGACAGTAACAATTATCTACAGTTAATGGATAGCTGTGTTAGTTCTTCTTTTTCACCCTCTTTTAGAGGGTTACAACAAAGAATGTTACATCCCAATTACATGACCTTCTTGATAATAAAAGGCCAAAATTAGATATCTAAGATATGGCACAATATTCTTTCCTGGCACATAGAAAATATGCATCAACTAAGTCTATAGGCTTAGTTGAAAAGAAAAATAGACTGGGAGAGACAGAAGCAGGGAATTATCTATCCCACGATTTTCACTTTGTAACCATTTCCCAAGATAATTAACTATTTCTGTTTTAATATACTCAAGAAGAAGAACTTATACTCAATTTTGCTGGTATGAATCTGAGGCAATGTCATATCAATGGTATTGGGTCAGCAGGCAGCATCTCTCCTTAGTTATGGGTGAGTAACTACATTGGAACAAATGAGTTAATATTAACTAATTGGCAACAGAAAGATGGTCCTCTTCCAAATAACTCCAAACAAAGAGTGATAAAAATCAACAAGATTTAATACCGTCCACAACTTCAATTACGTTCTAATGCTCCAAAAGTAAGTGAAAGGCATTTACATGTCAACCCCCATAAATATTTACAGTTATGACTGAAGCAGGCTTGACTCTTCACATCACTCCATTAAATCAACAGCACTGAATAGACTGTTATACTAAGAACAGTACAAAAACAGGCTGAAGTTTAAAAAAGCAAACTAAACATGGATCCCAACCCAGAGCCTTTGAGTCTGTAGCCTAGGGCCACATTAATTTTGAACCTCCACTGAGGTCTGTGCTTTGCCAATCTCCTGCGTTTGTGGTCACAACAAGGCGCAACTTGGCATCCAACATGTACCAAGTTTCTCTCTCCTTTGTCCCTGGGAAGAGAAGTGGTGCTCTTATGCTGCTCCACTGATCCTACACCTTGCCTTCAGCAACAGGAGACACAAGAGTCCTAGCCATGGCAAAGACTGAACTGTCTAAAGACTTCAGCTTGGACACAGCCAATTATCCAAGCATCCCAAGACACCCAGCTTTGCTAACATTGTTCTGATGCTTTGAACTACGTAATCTGGAATAAAACCACAGGCCCTTTTGTTTCTTTAACTAGATACCAGCACTCAAATGGAGGAGAGGGCAGTATTTGGGTGGAGAATATGTTGGTTATAACTCATTATTTGATCCCTCCTGGCCACGCTGAACAGCAGCAATGTTGGAATTTAGGAAGACGAACCTTCTTGATTTCTAAAGAGTTGCCTCTTAGGGGAATGACTTCTTAGAGACATTACCTGAGATTAAGTGTTCTGTACCATGCTCCTCTTCAAACTCTTTACTCTTTGCTTGGTCACTTTAGACTGATTCCCCATGGACCAAACATAACAGAAAATGGAAGCAATAACTTGGAGCAATTAGCAGCCCCTGTGCTGAAGGCGAAAATCAGGTAAGAAAGATTGAAGCAGATACAGCTCGATCAAAACAGTCATCTTCTGCTGATTTATGCAGCCTGCTGCATGCCAAAGGATCTTAAACTAAGCCAGGATCACTCCGGTCTTCTACAACAAGGCAGAAGCAGCCCAGAAACACAACAAATCCTGGAGTAACATCCTATCAGGGCATCACTGGCACAAGAATTAACACTTTCCAAACCAAAATATATAGCAACTTTCCTTAAAATAAGTTTTTATAGTACAGAGGACGATTTTATTTTATGTGGTCTAAGGACAGTACACCACTGCCCTTAATACTGCTCTGATTTAGTGAAAAAGAAAACTGTAGAACAGACTGCTGAGATCTTCCCTTTCCTTCTTCAGCTATTATTTGAAAGTGCCCTTCAATCACAAACTGGAGAATCCTCACTTAATCTCCCACTCAGTGGGATCAAGTCAAAGGGCAGCTCCTCCACCCCTCCTGGAGAGAGCCGTGCTGCAAAGTCAGCAGCGACAGCAAGCTGAAGGGCCACCATGGGATGGGAATTAGTGACCTTTTGGCCCAGGGCTATGAGTTTGACCAACTGAGCCATGCCCAAATGGACTCCCAGTTAATTTTTCCCTGACTTAACTGATATTCTCAAACTACTGACAGACAGATGATACCTTCCATGGGTTGTATCATGGTTCCGAGAGCCTCTTTTACACAGAGATCACAGGCATCAACACATAGAATGAAAAATCCAACACCAGTGACACCACTTAACACTGCAGTGCAGGCAACCATTTAGCAACAGACACTTACTCTTCTCTGCTCTTCCTCAGGAGTCACCTCACACAAATCCTGAAGAACCTTTTCATACCACAAGTATGAAAAGCACAGTGTGGGGAGTACAGAGGCATAAAGTGTCATGTTTTCAACATTGTGCTTGATTTCTATATAACCTACCAGTCCCATGAGGACAGTGAGTTCCAAGGGACATTAAAAACAAGACCAGAGACAATCTGAAAAGGTCCTGCTAGAAATGGTAGTTTTGGAGGACGCTCAGAAAAAAAATATAAAGGGCACTGAGTCAAGGTGAGCTGAGAAATATGCAACCAGGAAAACCTGCCAATAAAAGGCACTCCTTCAGAACACAATGTTTTGTCTGACTGCTTTATCAGGAAATCAATTTACAACTGCTTCTTATTACTCTGAACTGAAAATGACAGGAGAGCAAAGGCTCTAAATCAAGGAGAGGAAAGCAGGCAGAGTACAGAAGTCCTCATTCACTGAAGGACTAAACATTTTATACTTTTGCATTTTAGAGAAATCCAGCTTGTTACTTTCTTTCCCTGAGGGTGTTTTTTGTTTTGCTGTTTTGGTTTTAAAACAGTACAGTTTCTGCTACACACAGCTAACATAACCTTGTGCAAGTTACGCAATGATACGGAGCAGTCTGATCTATACAATGACCTTTTTCATGGCCTAAGCTCTCCAGACAGAGGTGCCTAAAATTGCTAGTTTAGGACAAGCCTGTTGCAGAGAAGACTACGTGTCTTATATTTCAAAGCAAGGACTTTGGTAACAAAGCCATCACAGACATACAGAGAAATTCACGTGGCATCTTCCAAGCTTTACTTCAAACTTGCGACATGCACAAGGTAGATTGAAAGCTCCAGCTTGGAAGACAATCTACATAGATTGACTTTAAATGTAATTTGAGTTTATTTAGTTCAAATGTTTATTTTTGTTTTACTCCAGAAGAATACTTTCAGTTTTACATACAAGTTTCTCTCACAAAAAGAAAATGTAATTCACTCTTCCCTTGGCTTCTTCCTCTGCCCCAGCTTCTGTTCAGCAGCGTGACCTCTTTGTTCATTTTCTCCTGTTACTCAGCAGTTCCCAGTTTTCCAGCACAGCTCAATTTCACCATTCAGTTTTTATACACCTGGGCCTTGTGTTCTCCAGTACACACCATATCCTTACCCAGATGGAAGGATCATAGTGTCCCCAGGGTGCTCCAAAAAATTATTAAACAGGCTTTTCTACTCAAGCCTCTCTTTTTCTACTCAAGCCTCTCCCAGAATGAGCACAGAAATCCTTGGGATTTCCAAGGAAGTTGCTGAACAATGACGAGATAGCTCCAAATCTAATAAACAGCTCTGTCAGTCTCAATTTTTTTCCTCCCCACCTCAGCACGTTAAAATCCTGTCTTCATACTGGGGAGACTTAATATCAGTTTGTTCCATTGTCAAGATGGGTCAATGTGTTTGCCTGTAAACCTCACGACTCCTACATTCCTTCAGCAGGTCCATATTGCTTTCCCAGTAGCAACACCGAAAGGCTCACTCACCTCTTTGTGGGAATCTTTATGTGCTTCCAGTGTTTTCATGATGGTCAATTCCGCGTAGTTCTTAAACCTTGCCGGCTGGTTCCTTAAGATCTCTCTCAGGACTCGCAGCGCCAGGGCTCTTATTGAATGCTGTGTCAAGAGAAACCCACATGAGAAAAGTCACTTCTCAAAATTGTAGTTTGAAGTAAATTCTCATGGCTCCCTACGTACGCCACCAGAAATCTCATATTGCTCTACTGGCTCCAGTGAAGTGAGGAGTGTAATTAATATAACTAAAATTCACACTTGGTCTCCTTGCTTGCTTTGCACAAAAATTCACATAAAATGACTGTTGTCACAGGTACAAGAATCAGAATGACTCTACTTTGTTAAATTCCATACTCTTTTGGCAATGAAGTACAAATTTGTACCCAAAGCAGCACATCTGCATTACATGAATCTACAAAGAAGCTCAGGTGGTGTTTGTTTTGCCCTTCCTCTTTTGCTTAGCTTCACGGATATCAAGCTGGGCTCCATCCACACAACAAAGCTGTTCCTCAGGTACTAATGCAGTAAAATTGACTCCCTTCCTGTAACTCCTATGGAAATTACTTTCAAGAACAGTCAGTCATTGTAGTCAACGCTGACCTATGTGTTAATCCTTTATATCAAAAGATCATTAGCAGAAGGGATTTATAACACCTGCTTCAATTTCACAACTGCTATATTAAGTTTTTGGCCTGTCGCCACTCCAAATAGATTCTACAATTTCAGCAGAGGAATACTTTATACTCAGCCTTTTAAGCATGCCCTTTGATACTCATCTGCAAAATTCATGCAGTATCACAATTCACATGTACTTAGATATAGCCATCACATCTTCCTATACATGTGTGATGATGCTATGATTAACATGTAGGACTAAAGCAGCTCATGCTTATGCTACAAACAACTGAGAAAACATCAGCCACCTACACTGCTTCAGAATTAAAATTTCTGACGGCCTGCCATATACTTTACAAGGAATATAAAAAATACAATGGATATTGAATCAGATGAAACAAAAAAGAACTGTGAGCGCTTCAGTGCTTTGAAGCCTAAATATTGTAACATTGAGATGGAACATGGCTCTGATGCGAAGGCGCAGCAGGGTGCTGGGTCTTTACCAAATATCATTGTGCTGAAAGCTGAACAAATAACCCCAAGTGGAAGGAGGAAAAGTCTAGCCTGTGAATTATCACTTTGATCAGCTATCAAGTATTAGGCTGTGATAATAACGCAGCTTTTTTTTTAATACTTCAAAACAAGATCCCCTATGCAAGTAGTTTGTTCTTGATGACATTTTTGCAAGATACAGAGACCCATCCCACGAGATCTAATAGCCTGGATCTCTAAACCACACAGAGCAAAAAAAAAAAATTCTTCTTTTTTGGGGGAATGAGGATGATATAGCTAAGAGCTTGTAATTTCATCCTAATTCGGAAAAGAACAGCTTTTGAAATCTTGGTAGTTTTTGTACAAGACTTGAAGATAACTTTTCTTCTGATTCTAATTCAACTTCCTAGTTATATGTTACCAACATTCTAGAAGGAGAGGGGAAAAAATGGAACACTCCAGAATAGCTTAAAATCCATCATTAAGCACACTGAAAACAAAAGCAGAGTCACCAACCTTCAAAAGAAAAAACAAGCAGTGCAACATCACTGATGAGGTGCTGTACAAAATGCAGGTTTCATTTAAACTAGAGTGGAGGAACTATCACCCTAGATGAAGCAACGTATTGAGTTAAGATAAAAATCTACATCTCACATCTTTGTCTCCAAGCGTTTCCAGCAGCAAGAGCAGAATGGTTTTGAAATGTTCCTCCCAAACTCCGAGATTATCTTCCCTTGTGATCTTCAGCAGTTCCAGGAGAGCTCCTTTCCGCTCCTCCACCCGCTCGTTGTGGTTGGAGAGCTCTTTCAGAAGATCAGCCACCAAATCTGAATGGTCAATGGGTACTTCTAGGACAAATGGTAGGTAATCATTTGGGGAAACAGGAAAAAAGATCAAAGATGCGAAGATTACTAACCCTCTACAGAACAAATTGCACATGACAAGGGCCCCCCCAAAAAATGCATCAAATCCCTGGTGGCCTCAGTCAAGCAGGCACGAGAATCCAACTAGCCCACAATTTCACCCGAGTTCACAACACAGCTCATGAATCTGCACATGGCTTCTAAGGAACCAGGAAGAGATGACAATTGGATTTCATCCAGTTCCAATTGCTGCTACAAGATGAGAACTGCCAGTTTTCCCCCAGACACACACACCCAAAACCAGCAATCACATGTATGACCTTTAGATCAAAGTACAGTGACTCATCAGTGTACTACAAAAGAATAAAGCTAAGGTGCAGCATCACTCAAATGAAGTGAAATGCTAAGAAACAACAAGCTATTGAGTGAGATGTTTCAGGCATAAAGAGTGGAATGTTCCCAAAACAGTGTCCCTACATTTAGATGCTTAAGGGACAAGATTGAGGGAAACTCTAGGCAAACAAAAATTAAAACTGCAGTATGACAGTTTCTCAATAGCCGCAAGATCAGGTTCTGCTGGCACAAGAGAACAGAGAGTATTTTCATACCAAGCCTCAACTCTGCTGCACAGTAATAGACAACATATGCACGGGCAAGCCTGTATCTGAGAGCACTACCCACACACAAATATACCAGGAACAGAGCAAGCTGCCTGCCATTTTATGACATATGCTGATACAAACCGTCCCGAAGCTGATCCATGTCATCATCGAACACTGCTTCCTTCAGGGCAGTCTTGTCGTAAGTGTTAATTGTGTCGACGTAAGGATAGGGGTTATATTCTCGAGCACGTGGCCCTGAAAAGGCGCGGGGAGGCTGGGTGTTAAGTAGGGAGGTTTTGTTATCTAGAGCCATCCTTCCGCCTTCCACAATGTCACCGCTTCCACGGACATCACTGCTAGGCACAGCGAGGCCACCATCTCGAGACACCTGGGGGATCAAACAGAAAGAAATTACATGAGACTACTCAAATTCCGGAAGCTGTAGCTTTTTTAGAGTTCACCAACCAATATGAAGATGCATAGAATTGTTTACACGTACACAATGCTTGCGTAAAACTTAGACTACCACCTCTTTCCCTTATCTAACTACAACTGTTCCAAAAATACCTCATGACCATAGGGCAAAAATCTATGCTAACATTCCTATATATAAGTTAATATTGCTAAAACTGCACAAGCTGGCAAAGATCACAAGCTCCGGAACAGGACCAATTTGCTAAGAAGGGAAAGGAAGCAAAAGCAATGTTCTCCTCATGAAATTTCATAACCCACTGATAGAGGGTGTTGGGTGATGTTTAACAAGAACTAAACAATAGAAGGGTCTCAAAGAAAAATTTTGGAGCATGAATTTTTAGCTTTAAGACTAACTTAATTTACTAAACTAAACTTCTTTGTCCAGATAAGATAGGAAGCAAAACCATCAGAGAAGGTGTGAAGTTGGAAGGGACACATAAGGATCATTGTCTAAGACTTCTAAATTTTGCAGTCCACGTATTTAATTAAAACAAACAGCATCTCACATGGTAGATAATTCTATAACCATTCATGCAGCATAAGGTGCTACGTGAGTTGTATCTTTAAAGTGAATAGGGGTCCTTCCTACATAGGAAGCAACAAGCCTGCGAGGGAAACCACCCATGCACTTTAAGAACATTTCCCATTACAGACCTGACTACACATGGTCCATGAAAAAGCCATCACTGAGCCACGCTGAGCCTGAGGAACACCAGCACTGTTTCCTTCGTGCATGAGACTCCCTCAGAAACTCAGTGAGCACACTGTACAAGCAGCTCGAGTTTAAAGGGTGCAAGAGGCTACATTAGTGAGACTCCATAACTTAGTTGTAAACCATCGGCAACTAATAAGCTGAAGATATTTGCAAGAATACAACCGAGTAACTGGTTTTTGTACACTAGCAATCCAAAGCCAGGTTTGAACACAATATTTTAAAGTTTCACTTATGTGGGGACCTGAAGTTACATACTTACAATGTCACAGTCTTTCTTTCCATCACGTTTGATCGGCTCATTCAGGTCCTCTTGACTACGGAAACTAAACTTTTCAATCGCTTCAGTGACTCCACGAAGAGAGCTGTAGATTTCATCAGAATTTAGGTTCTCCGTGTCATAATCCAGCATACTAAAGACCAAACGTATATGAAATGTTACATATGAAATCGGAATCCGCTTTTGACTGTTAACAAAAACAATGCCAACTCAGAGACAGATGATTTGGTGTACCCTTTCTAATGGTGCCTTGTAACAAAATATGGATGGAATCAAAGCAGACTTCAGGTCTGAGTCTGCCCTGCAAACAGGGCTAAATCTAGAAGCTCCACCGAAATCAGTGGCATTACATCGCTGTGAGGGGAAAATCAGGTCCACTGTTAGTTACATTCCATAGCAGTGAGCTGTGCTAGCTTCTGTAAACCAAAAGACCTATCCCCAGCATGGTAAAGGTGTTATTTAAAAAGGAAAATAAATAAAATCAATCACTATGAGAACTCAAAGGGTTGTGACAGCTGGTGGAAATGAAATCAATGACATTTAGGTTTCATAATATATCAAATACATTCTATCAATGGATTCAAATGTGACAGATCTAAATGGAAAGGAAAATGTATCTTGTTGTAAACCTTAGTCTAACATGTCCCACTTTCATTTATAGAATAGTAAAACCAAAGCCATTTGCATGATGCCTTGATAAAAAATGCATTTCAATATTGAGCTTAAATTTGGGAATTCTCTTGCTCAAATCTGAGGCAGTCTGTCTGTGCCTCAGAAATTCCTCAGCAGCATAAAGCCATGCAAGTTTGGGGATTCCTTGAAGAGTTATCCAAAATTAAATTGCATGAAAAAAATAGGTGGCATGCAAGGGCCGATGATATGAAAAGATGTGGCTAAGAAGAGAAGGTCCTACAAGCTTGGAGAAAATGAAAAGGCCTTATTGGCAGGGCTTTGCTCTATCTAGGAGAAGTTGAGTTTGCACGACAATCAGTTTTCCAAGACAGATTTTATGAAGAGACCTAGTAACTGAGAACAATTTCTCTGGGGGAGTCTCAGATCTTAGTAGAGCCAGAAGCAAATAAACCAAAAGAATTTGAGACATTTACATCAAGTTGTTTGTCAATAAGTGTCAAGAAGTGGCTCCCTACAGGGGTGAATTACTATTTCTTAACAGCTGGGGAAGGATGACAGGACAGGCTTGGAAAAGGATGGCTGAACAAAGAACTCTTCCTTTTCCACAAAAGAAAGACTCGCTGTGAGGTGGATGAGAAAAAAATAAAAAACATAAAATCCCTTCTGAGTCCTGGGTACACAGCTATTATTTTCAATAGAACTAGAAGTAGGATGTTAAATATCTAGAATTACTACTTCTTTTTTTTTTTGTCTGAAAGAAATTCAGGAACTTCAGACCGAGGGTAAGATTGGTGCTGCCTGATTCCTTTGGGATTAACACACTGAAAATAGCCATAATCCCTGGCTCCCAAGCAACGTGCACACAAGCATCAGCACCGTGTATTCTGGCAAAGAAACCAAAGAACAACTCCCCAACTTTAAACAGTGTCTGTCTGGCCAGGAAGAAAGAGAAACCACTTAAAGAACAGACCAAGATCAGGAAACAAAAGCTGTTTATAAATCTGAAGAAGTCAAAGTATTTAGGGCTTTTAAACAGTTGAATGACACTAATGCACTGTGATGGCTTTCCAGACAAAAGTAAACGTACTTCTTCGATTCTTTGTAAGTATCAGGCAGGGATAGGACAACCTTTGTTTTATATGATCTTGAAAATATTAATTTTGAGCTCAAGCACATTTAATGGGTTCTTTATGCAATATTTAAGCGAGCAATGAAACCGCAATTCAGGAGGGTGTATATGTGACTGTACCCATGTATCTACACCAAGAGATGACAAGACTTACCAAAGGTCACACAAAAAGAGAAATAATCACGGATATACTGACACTAAATCTTCTGCTAAAATCATCACTTCTTTCCTCAGGGGTGAATTTTGCCCTAAACTGCTACCAAAGACTAGATCAAAGTACAGACTCTGCAATGCTAAAGGACTAATGCAATTTCTGAAGCTGATGAATTTTGCAAAGCACAAAACCATATTTTAATAAAAATCTAAAGAATCCAGTGATTTCACATGTCAAGAGTAAGCCTGTGTAGAAGATCACATTATGGCTGTGTTCTACATGAACAAAAACTCTACATGTGTACACACACATCTATTGACAGTATGTGTGCTGGAATACTTCACAGACAACACGATGGGGGGAATAAAAAAATAACATGGAACTACACCCACCTTTCAGTTAAAAAAAAAAGAAAAGACACAAAAGGAAAAAAAAAAATTATGACCCATGCAGAAAACTAGAGGAAAGTCACAGGATGAATAAGAAGTGAGTAGAGATGAGCAGTGTTCAGGGATGTCACAACATTATTTTCCATCTTCTGCTGCACTAAAACAATGCAGGTCTCTGCAAGATTTTCAAGATACAATTTGGAAGTTTTCCAGTCTGAAATGAAATACATTTTACTTCCATAAACTATTATTCAGTTTCCTATCCAAACTATGTGTAAGTAATCAACAGTTTAGTATCCTCAAGCAGCACACAGTAGCCCACTTCATTGCACTTTCAGGCTCTAGGTTGGAATATATGTCAAATCATTCCAAACCTTGGTGTCAACTAATGAAAGGAGGAAGAAAAATTCTCCAGTTTAACTCCCAAAATCAACATGTATCTCTTCCGCAAATATCTTAGTGTCCTAGAGAGTCAAAACATTGATTTAAAATTCTAATTCTGCAGGTACTCACAGAGGTACAGGCCACAGGATTACATTTTCTCTCTCAGATATCACAGATTCTCAGATTTTGAGCCCTCAAAGAACAATTTGTTTGCTTGTCTTTCAACAGTTTTTCATTAGGAAATTCTTGCTTCGAGGAAAGACTATATATATAGTCCTTCTTTAGGCAATAGGTATATTTAAGTCAGGAGAAAACACATCTACAGAAAGCCTGTTGTCACAGTATAAACTTAAAAAAATATCCAAGGAATTTGGTATAGAGGTCTGACAAATTAAGTTTGTATTCAGAAGGGGTATTTTTTGATTAAAACCAGTCTACTCCAGTATAGCGATTAAAGATTTGTATGCAGATTGGAACAAAATGTGAGGGCACAGGAGGAGGAAGAGATATCAAAATTAGTGATCCTCTAAATCCTGTGGGTAAGGACAATTTCAATTTTGATAATACAAATTTGCAAGATGTTCCACCATCATGCTGTGCAGGCAGCTGGTAAAATCACACAGGCAAACTTCATCCTCATTGTCTCACGGATATTGACTACTGCAGATGTGAAATCACTATTGAGCTGTATTTGCCTGTTTGAAAGGACTACACTGTGCAAAAGGCACATGAGTGAAGTTGAAAGACCTCACCCGTGCTATCATAACACAACCAGTGCCTGCAGAAAGTGCTCAGCAACTGCGTTCTGCCTTGGAAACCAACTGTGAAACGTACACCCATTCAGGAACCTGGCAGGGAGGAAGAGTCCGGAAAAATCCACCTTTTTTTTTGTTTTTCACCCCACTTGCAGGCTGCATCTTCCCCCAGCAGCAAGCAGGTGGCTACCTGCCACCTCCACTCTCTGAAAGCTATTGTCACCTCTTTTCCTTTTCCAACCAAGGCCTCTGCAAATCATTTCCCACGTTTGAACAAATCCCACGGTGCGAAAGGTAAATAATACTGTGACACCTCAGACAAGTTGGTTTAACAGGTAGCTTGTTACCTGGGAGAGTAAGAGCGTCTGAAAGTCTTGTGGGAAGGAGCAGTGGGGATGGAGTTAGGCTGAGAAAGGGGAGGTGGGTGCTTCGACAGCCCGTCTGCACTCCAACCCCAGAACCGACTGCCGCGATCAGAGGAGAAACGAAAGAGAGAAAAAACAGAGAAAGGAGAGGGAGGAAAAAAAAAACAAAGAAACTATAATCTGAGTGGTTTAGTGCTGTCATGCTGCCTTGGAGAGAGAGAAAAAAAATTAATAGAAACAAAATTAAACAAGAATACTCCATTGAGCCCCGTAATTCATTGGATTGGCCTCTATTATTCATTTCCACTTTTATTCCTAACATAATGATATGGTTCACAGAAAAACAGTCCCTGCTTGTACTAACCAGTAAATTTTACAAATGGATAGAGCCTTTATAAACAACTGTTAAAATGCTTTAAGTGAACAATCCCTGACCACGCATCTGTGTTCAAACTCTAAGCAGGTATTTGCGAGCAACAGGATTTCCCTGGAAGAAAGGAAAGTTGGAGTCGATTTTTTTTTACTGGACACCCAAAGGCAGCTTGTCAAGTTTGGCTCCTGGTGCCTCTATAAGAGCCTGCAATCAGGTCCTACACAATCAGCACACCTTTGCAGGGCTTACGATCTGATTCTATTTCACCAGATTCAAAATGATCCCAAATATTCAGCAAATGAAAGTCAGTCTAAAGTGTAAATGCATCAGGTAAATTAGGGACTTGGCCCAGGTCTCAGCAAACAAACCTGGAAAGACTGGATGAAACCAGCCTCTAAGTCGATTCAGATCTCTCATCAAACTTCCACAAGCCCCTTCTGGTTACTGTTTGATCCTGTGCCTTTGGGACAAGGCAACCATCCCTGTGCCAATTCATCTAACCTTTGCTTTTGTCCTGTTCCCTTTATGGTACATGGATTTTTCAAAATTATCTTCTAAAGGAGAATATAGATGCTTGAGCTGGTGGAGTATTCAGGACACCACTTTGTTTCTATTAAGTATGCTGTCTCAGAAATTCACATTTGTGTATACACAAGTGAAAGATGCTGCAAGATCAGATGGGGCAAATCAGTCAAAATTGCTCCAGTGCAAACAGCAGCAAAGCCAGGTGAAAACTCCTCTAAAGAGTGGTGTCAAGAAATTAACTCATTAACCAGTAATCAAAACCCACAGCTATTACATGCAACTAATGGAAATACACCAGACACCCAGACTGCTGATCACAAGTCTCACAGCTCAGGTCCCACCTACCTGCAAACAGGCCACCAAACAACGCAGGCTTATCCTTATTGTATAAGGTGGGTGGCTTATTTTAATTCTTTTTCCATGCCTTGCTCAACTTCACAATGAAACTGTCAAATTTTATTTTTAATGGTATTTTCTATTGTCAGTGAAAAAATAAGTACATAAACTTATATAGCCAAATAAAATTGTTAGCCTTTTATTTTGATGTATTTCCTCTAGAGATCTTTGAGGGCACTAAATTTGGGTGGGGTATTTTTCATCACTGGAACTAAACACAGGTTTCTGGGCTACTAATAAAGGCAGAAACAATATGGCAAACCTATTCATTTGATACTCCTTCAAATATTCCTAGAGAAATCTAGGTGAAAATTCACAAGCTGAATATAATATCTGAGTTTACAGAAATTCATTTGCCATTCAGGACAGTATTTTTTCACTGGAGGACTTCACAACTAGTAATTTTTTTTTTGTCATATTAGACTATTTACTAAATAGCAGAAAATTTTCTCTGTCCAACACAAACTCAAGCCATTCATCTGAGCATCGCCCAGGAAACATTTTTCCCCTCTTAAGTCAGAAGTCTGGGGGTTTTCCTATTATTTTCAGTCTTCCCAAGTGCCCTGCCCTGCTTTTCTTCTTCAGAAAACACCTCTTTCCTCCATAACTCCCCTCCCCAGAAACTAAAACTGTCAAGACAAAAAAGGCAGGTACAAATGCAGAAGTAACACAGATGCAGTGGGTACATTCTAGTGATCATGAAGCAGAACTGGATGGAGCAAATAAAAGCAAAAAAGGAGGACTCTGCCCAAGGCCCCAAAAGCGTATTACCCTTCTGAAGGCACTACCATCAGGGGATAGTTAAACAGACATTATTACCTGGGAAGGCAAATTAGCTGTTTGCATCAGCAAAGTCCAGTTCAACCAAAACATTCAAAATCTATCCAGAGACCTCAAATGCACGTATACACAAATATACACACAAAAATAATTTCAAAAAAATCAGTCATGTGGAATTCAACTGTGATGGCAACAATATGGGAGAAGTAATGTGACCTAAGGGCAATGGCATACAAACATACCATAGCAAGTCCATGTCAATAAAGCTTTGCTGATTAATATTGAGGATATTGTCCACAAACCATTAGTAATATGGGAGAGCAGCTATGCTTATAAGCATTTTTATATTCCTACAGGAACCAAACTATCCTTGCTACACATTTCCCAGCCCCAAAGACACATACGTCTCTAGATATGACTCCACTAATTTGTGCATCAAGACAAAATTCAAAGGAAAGTATAACCTTCAAAACAAAAGCTAGCATTAAGAACTGGAGATAATCCTTCAACTGACTGCAGTCAGGCTGCCTGCACGAGACACAGGCACGGAGAAGGCAGGCAGGGGCCCCACATGGAGCGCCCAGGAAGCAATGGGCATACACAACCTCAGTACAACCCTTTGGCAACAGGTCCCATATAAATGTAAAGCCAAGCCTAGTTTCAGAGGAGGGCTACACTAAGGAACTGTGGGAATCTGTATCCCTTCACACTGCTATCAGAATGACTTGAGTCTGCTGGGTTTCTAAGTTTGTAGAGAGAAAAGTGACATTTTACACCCCTGATAAATAGCAAATGACAAGCATTTGTAATGGAACCATGACACAGGAGCACTTATACACAGAACTGCAATACTGCAGTGCACCCTACTCCCCATCATCTGTTAGTGTGCATTTTCCAAAGCCTTTTTTTCCTGAGAGAAGGACGACCACATGTACTCTTGAGAAACAGAGCTAAATTCTCCCTTGTTCTGCAAGTCAGGCCCATGCTCAAACTGTGCTGCACAAGACATTTTCAAGAAGGATGCAGTCCAGCAGAGCATCAGAAGCTACTGACACTGATTCACAGTACTCACCGCCACCTTTTCTACAAATGGTAAAAATCTGCAGCTACTGTTACTGCTTAGAGGTCATTCACCAAAAAAAAGTAGAACTTCTCCCCTGAATATCTTAAAAGGCTTTTACAGCAGCTTCCACCTTCCTCTATCATTGAATAGTAACTTTTACACATCACTCAAATAACTAAATCCAACAAGGGGATAGGACACACTTCTCAACAAGACACCTAAGTTTTTGAAACAACATCTTCAAGAAGAACTCCGTGGAAAATTGAAGGTATGATTGTTTTCTAAAGGAAATTCCTTGGTCACTACACCGGTGGCAGCTTTGGTCTTGGCCACTGAATGGCAGAATGCTCTGGAATTACATGCTCTAACTATTCCTTGAGAATATATCACATTGAAAAAAAACCCAGTTCCTAAACCCAAAATACTAGAAACCAACAGCAACAGAGTATTACATGTATGATGAATGCTTTAATCAATATTTTGATATGTGTATCTTGACATCAAAAGGTGAGAAGAATGCAAAGACAAGTTGAAAAGCTGTGAGTGAAGTGGCAAAACACAGTTATGTCCCAATGGCAAAACCCAAAAATCATGGTAAAAGGTCATGGTTTTAAAAAAAAAAGATAAGTGCCACATGCAAACGTGGCCAGCAAAGCCACAACGTAGCCACAGGGAGATGGATCTCAGTTTGTAATTTCCTATGACAAATCAGCAGGGCAACAATGCTCAAACTAGTCAAAAAGGAAGCAACACATTTGGAACCACTCCCCTGAAATTCTACCACTTCATTTCTTAATGAAACCTTTGTTGAAAAAACCTCATACTAGGCAACTTGACCTTGGCTTGCAACCTCTCAGTCTAGTTTTAGATTACAGTGCGTTTAGGGGTCACAAAGATGTATTTAGATATCCAAAATTTTCTCAGGAAACCCCACGGGGTCCCCATATGCTGCTGGAATTAGTATTAAAGACTCATCAAAGGCTAAAAGGCTGCGTTTTTCCTGACACAGGGGAACTCACATGTCTAAGCATCCCTACAGACAGGGTTTAGCAAGTCACGACAGGGCTGATCAACAGATTTCAGTGTAATTTACTGTGCTGGTCTATGAACTGCAGCCCTCACCCAACACCTTTCATTCTGTCTCTTCCAAGGACAAAGGGAAGTGACCTCTCACAGAGAGGACAGGCAGACAAGAGCAGCAGCTTTTAAGCTTTCCCAGCATGGATTAAAGCTTCACCAGGTCTGATATTTTCCTAATACAACCTAACACTTTCCTACAATATTTCTATGGGGCCCGAGCATACCACTTAAATTCCTACATCCTCTGCTGTAAGGTTTTATGGTATGAAACATGTATGCTCCCAATATTCAAGAGTCCATGTTTCCTCAATAAAAGGTTTTGGAGTAGCAACTGCAGCTTCAGCAAAACACCTGGTTGCAACAGATCTGCTGCCCAGAGAATCAGGCCACTATTCTGCTGATGAGTAGGGAGATTTGGGAGGTGTTCAGCATTGAAACAGTCCCCACCTCTGCTTGTTCTGCATCCTCACAAAGCATAAGAGGGGAACAGGAGATTCTGTACTTCTCACAGCAGCACAAGCACTGTGCTACAGTCACATGAATTACTGATCAGAAGGGCACACCTAAAAGACAGACACAATCTGAGCACCTTGACCTGAAAGTCATCGTATCGTTTGCGATATCTGCAACCTCAACAAGACCTCATTTCTAATGCTGCTATATAATATTACCTTTATTGAACCCACAAATGTGATTCTGGAGAAGGCCTAGTTATGAAAGAAAATGAGTATTATAAGACAAGACATTAAGATTAGACAGATAACATGAGGACTGGAACAACGAAGTCAATCACCAATCACATATTATCATGTTCAAACCCTGTGTCTTTGGAGCAATCTACTGTAAACTTTTGGTCTTTATTTTGCTTTCAAAGTGAATCATATTCTGCAAGTGCACACTCAAGTGTCGAAATCCTTTAATATTTTGCAAGTGGTTTAATTAGCCTGCCACATTACCTTGGAGACAATCCACCATGGGAACAGTTGGTAGGTGAAGTTAAGGGGCTGGTTCTGCTGCTGGAGTGCCGGGAAGGAGTCCGACCAAGGGTATTGCTGGGGGAACCCTGGCACAGAAGCAGAAAGACAGGGATTAGCAACATGTTGCAACGCACAGGCAGAAGCACACAACGACAGGTCCAAATATTGCCTTTGTTTGCGCTAGACAAGTTTCGTGCCGTTTTGGTTCTGGCTCTTCACCTAAAAATCTGCAGCCATGGTTCATGTAGTCATCAGTATGTTATTGAAGGTACCACTCTGAGGATAAAGAAAGCACACGTGCACTTTCCTACAATCCACAGTACCTGAAATTTTAACTAGGCAACACATAGAGCCTGCAAATATCACCAGAGAAATGGTTTGTCAATCCACCAGGCTACCCAGCTTCTCAGACACGTTTTGCCAGGCCCTAAAGCATGCAGAACTTTACCCTGGCAATTTAGCAATGTAATTATGCAGCTATTTTCCGCATTGTCTAAAGCATTCTAATTGTGCTTGCTACAAGCATAAGTGAGCAATCTAACTTCACATTTTTCCACTGGCCTGCACAATCATTTCCACCACAGCAAAACGAGGAGAAATTGCTTCTAATTCTGGCTCTCTTTGCACAAAGTCTGGAAGTCCAATGTTGCAGTTCTAGCTTACACAAAGGTCTGCTTGTCCAAAGTAGTGGAAGTGCAAAGATAGGAAGGTTCAAATTTCAGCAAATTTCACAAGATTTCCACATAAAAAAGGCAAGAAATACCCCAATCCTTGCCGCTCTGGGGGTAAAAAGTTTACAAACACACTTAAATACTCTACTAACTTATTCCTTCAGAGAAATAAAAATACGTAAGTGCTTCCTGTAAAACCAATACATAAGGTAACACATAAGCGTAGACTGAGGAGACCTTGTAGGTCACATCAAAGCTCCTGCAAGCTTCTCAGTAGACAACATATCTGTTATTAAACTGATCTCAATAGCAATGGTAAGATCAGAAAATCTGTGGTATCAGGATCTCTGTTTTAGTCAAAAGGTCGTTACTGGCAGGATCTTCAAAAGCACCACCAACTTAAAAGCACAAACACCACCAACTTTTATGCAGTTCTCAAGTAATTATTTCTTTTCCTTTAAATCTGTAGTGGTTTATGACGATATTAAATTTTAAAATAACTGAGGTGGTTTTTTTAACAGTCCCTATAAAAGCAACATCAAACAGAAGCCTCCTTTGCCATATTGCTTCAAGACAACAGTTACAGATAATTCATACTGCTGAACATCTGCCATAGCTTATCAATGAGCTGCTGTCACTGGGGCTCTGCTGTTTGCAAGGACAAGGGCCTCTCACCACACTGGTGTTACTGGAGTTCTTGAGGTGGTTGTGCAGGAGCTTGGTAGCACCATCCTGGAATGTTTTTGGCAAGGCACCAAGTAACATGGTAAACTCAGGAGTGTTCAATTCGAAGAGAGAAATCAGGACTATTTGTGCTGCCTGAAAAGAAGAAAGAAAAGACCATCAATTTTTATTCTTTGAAAAAAGTTTGCATTCTGTTGGTAACGATCCTTATGGTAAAGGATGTGCGTTTCATTCAAAGAGACAACTCCCATACTAGACTAATTTTTGACATATTCCTTGTGATGTGTCAGAAGTAATTGCTATAGTTAATGTTTTAGTTCTCACAGCTTACAATATACTTTTGTATTTATATCATTAACTTCTCAGATGTGACGTGTACAGCTATTCACAGCTAGCGAGAAAAATCTTACCCTGTCCAGCACATATTTCAATTGAACAAGTTACTGCAAAAATGTACAGGAAACAAACAAAACCAGATGCTCAGATAAGCATGAAGAATCAAGGACTGCAGTCTGTCATTCCCATGCTTTCTATTTTAAGTACAAATGGGACTAGTTCACTTTCCATCCAGCCTTTCCTCTTCCTAAGGATCTGAATAAGTTTGTTTCAGCAAACCAACAAACCCTGCTTCTGTTTTCCCACCTCTCCTTGCAAGTCTCACCACTGAGGCTGTTTCCGCAACAGAAGACTCCATCTCAAGGGGAAGATCTACTGGAATGGTGAGAACCACCTTTCTCTCAACCGTGGACAGGCTAAACCCCACCAGATTCCCTAACTTCAATAAGTGAAACCAGGGTACCACTGAAATAATGGAGAATTTTAGCATTACTTTCACTGGACAGGGTTTCCCCCATCTGCCTGGAAGACGAGCTGCCAGAACAGGATCTCCACTAACTCCATTAGCAGATATACAGCTCTGCATATTCTGAACTACAACAATGGGATCAAATGGGAATGGAAACAGAATAAATCACAGAGTGCAGATCTGCAAGAGTAATTAACATCACATGTCCCTAACTGGACTTCACCAGCAGCACAAAACCCACATGGATTGCACCAATTCTGTTTTGGTTTTTTTTTTATTTCCCTGCCTTTGCCTTGAAAATATACAAAAATAAAAAAAAAATGATTAAAAGAACAATAAAATTGAAGCAATGATAAAGGACCTCTGCTGGTCTGCAGCATCACCTTCTCCAGTGGGGGTGTAGTCATTGACACACCAATCTCCCAAATATATATTGGGATACAAAGCAGTGGCTTAGGTTTACAAAGTAAGAAACCAAGCTGCACGTAACTCTTATTTTGGATCAGCTACAGACTTAGGAAGAGCAGATACAGGTGTCTGACCATTTTGGAAACTTCCTAAAACATCCTAAAAATGAAAAAGAACTGTAAAGAGGGTAAAAATATAATTTGCTGCTGTGGCAATAACTGCACTTTCATTGTTCTCATCAATTCAAAGAAGGAATTTTTAGTAATGTGTTTGTAAAGTTGCAATAATTAAGTGTATCTGCAGTTCCCTGTGAAGTGGAATCCTTTAGCAGGTGATGAAGCTGGGTAGACAAAAACCCTTTCACAGAGGAGGGGAATCAAAGTACCTCATTGTTTCAGCTGCATTGTTCAAATTGCAATTCAAACTGTGCTGTTCCTTCTGCTCATCAGCCCCGATTTGCAGTAACACAGCTTTTTATATAAAAACATTTTATATCCACAAAAGTTTGGAAAGTAACATCCTTCTCATAAGGCCAACAGAGAAACTGAGGCACAAAACATTCAACAGGCTTCCAAGGACTGCAGCAACCAACAGGTTTCCTCTTCCTAAGGATCTGAATAAGTTTGTTTCAGCAAACTGACAAACCCTGCTTCTGTTTTCCCACCTCTCCTTGCAAGTCTCACCACTGAGGCTGTTTCCGCAACAGAAGACTCCATCTCAAGGGGAAGATCTACTGGAATGGTGAGAACCACCTTTCTCTCAACCGTGGACAGGCTAAACCCCACCAGATTCCCTAACTTCAATAAGTGAAACCAGGGTACCACTGAAATAATGGAGAATTTTAGCATTACTTTCACTGGACAGGGTTTCCCCCATCTGCCTGGAAGACGAGCTGCCAGAACAGGATCTCCACTAACTCCATTAGCAGATATACAGCTCTGCATATTCTGAACTACAACAATGGGATCAAATGGGAATGGAAACAGAATAAATCACAGAGTGCAGATCTGCAAGAGTAATTAACATCACATGTCCCTAACTGGACTTCACCAGCAGCACAAAACCCACATGGATTGCACCAATTCTGTTTTGGTTTTTTTTTTATTTCCCTGCCTTTGCCTTGAAAATATACAAAAATAAAAAAAAATGATTAAAAGAACAATAAAATTGAAGCAATGATAAAGGACCTCTGCTGGTCTGCAGCATCACCTTCTCCAGTGGGGGTGTAGTCATTGACACACCAATCTCCCAAATATATATTGGGATACAAAGCAGTGGCTTAGGTTTACAAAGTAAGAAACCAAGCTGCACGTAACTCTTATTTTGGATCAGCTACAGACTTAGGAAGAGCAGATACAGGTGTCTGACCATTTTGGAAACTTCCTAAAACATCCTAAAAATGAAAAAGAACTGTAAAGAGGGTAAAAATATAATTTGCTGCTGTGGCAATAACTGCACTTTCATTGTTCTCATCAATTCAAAGAAGGAATTTTTAGTAATGTGTTTGTAAAGTTGCAATAATTAAGTGTATCTGCAGTTCCCTGTGAAGTGGAATCCTTTAGCAGGTGATGAAGCTGGGTAGACAAAAACCCTTTCACAGAGGAGGGGAATCAAAGTACCTCATTGTTTCAGCTGCATTGTTCAAATTGCAATTCAAACTGTGCTGTTCCTTCTGCTCATCAGCCCCGATTTGCAGTAACACAGCTTTTTATATAAAAACATTTTATATCCACAAAAGTTTGGAAAGTAACATCCTTCTCATAAGGCCAACAGAGAAACTAAGGCACAAAACATTCAACAGGCTTCCAAGGACTGCAGCAACCAACAGGTCTTCAGACTCTTCGCTCCAGATGGATCATGCAGCCTCCTGCCAAAACTCTTACTGACTTCAACAGAAATACAGTATGCCATTATTCACTTCACACTGAAAATCTAAGGGTGAAAGAAGTGGGGAGATAATTGTCCCCGTGGCTTTCTTAACTCCATACTCTACCCTCCTCTGACGTGAAGTTTTGTGCAACTCTGTCATGAAGCCTGCCTGGTATCCAACAAGGATGTGTATTTCTGTCCATTTTGATCCAAGAACTTTTAAGTTTTCACCAGCATAGTATTTTCTGTAATAAAAATATTACTGCAAACAAGAGATCTCAGGAAAACAATCAGCATGTTGAGCTGAATACAAAGTTAAGAGTCATGCCAAAGTTCACTCCCGTTCGTGAATGGCATGCATATCCCCCATGGTTAGGAAATGGACATGCGGATCTTCTGTGTCAGAACAAGCAGATCTCATATTCATTAAGATAAAACAAACAGCAAAATCAATCAACAAGGTTCCCAGGTTGAGAGATTGCTCAGAGATTGGAGATACGTGGGTTAACCTTGGCTGTGTTCTCTTTAAATAGTCCTTCGCAATCCAACTGCACTTCTAAGTTTATTTCAGGTAAAAACCATTATTTAGAAGTTCAGCCATGATTTCCTACCTAAAATTTTACACACAAAGGTCCTGGTCCCCACTACCATGAAGTCAAGAACACTGTTACCACTAGCCTCAAAAGCTGGAAGGTCCATGCTAGCTTGAAATCACATTTATAACATGCTCCAAGTTTCACTCTTGCAATACTTCCCAGTTTAATACAGTTAATTTTATTTCAATAATGAAGAGCATCAGGAGCTCTACACCTGTCTAATAGTTCTAATAGATCTGGACATGCTTGATAATCCTGTAAGTTTCATTTATGTAGCCAAAGGATATATTTTACAGACAATGTTTCTAAGAGTTTTAAATCTGTCGATTTTCAGCTTGTGACAAATCAGAGGACATTTTTATGATCTCAAAATCACTGGTCATTTCTGAAAATCTTGGCCCTTGTTTCATTAGATTGCTCAAGGAGTAGATAAATTTAAAACAAACAATAACAAACTTATTTCTGTACACAATGTACAAACACTCTCCATGCAACAGACAAGCTAGATGATATATAGTTTGAAGAAAGAGCAATATCTGAATTTTCCCTTGCCTTTGTGTCCCTGTACCTTTAGCATGGAACACTAATCCATCTCCTTTCAGTGACATATAATGTAGACCCTACAGATTATCTAATCTTAATAAGCGGTTCTCTGCTGGCTTGAGCTGGAGGAACTCCAGTGACTTCAGAGCCTGACTATGCTGGTGAGGGGGTCTGGCTCCGCGTCAGGTTCTTGAATCATTTGCAAAGGATGGCTTATTTAACATCCTTATTTTCCTTACAACAATGCAGTGAGGGATCAGGTTCCACAAACTGGTAGCAGCTCCCAAAGTTTCACGCTTAGGTCAACGTGATTCATGGTATCCACCAGCGTCAGCTGCTAAAGGGACACAAATGCTTTAGTATCTTTTGGTTTTTGTTTTCACCTAGACAGTGGGTATTGGCCAGATCTGTCAAAATTGGTAATCTCTGCAACTTGGCTGAATTACAATAAAATCTCTTTGAAATGGTTTGGGCTCATTAAGCAAAAAGATCAAAGCTATCTGGAAAAATCTGTTGATTTTAGAGAGAAAATGTGGCCTGTGACCTAAACTTAATACAAGTACCTGCCTTTTGATTGCTGCTGCTGGTCCAATAGACCAAGCAGAATAAGCAGCTAGTTGCCCGAGCTATATGAAAGCAGTTTTCATGTTCCTCAAACTTCCATTGGTGATGGGCTCACATCACCGACAGCTCCATAAAAGAAGAAGACCTCACACCCTGATTGCTTACGAGGGACTACAACACAAGAGTTAACAGAAAAGCACACCAAAGCCAAAAAAATTACTTCACAGACAAGACACGCGTTTTTCAGGCTCCCAGTCGAGGTCTCTTTACACAGCTAGACAGTTGAGTTGGGACTGCAAACAAGATTAGTGTGATTAGTGCACACAGCTTTTAGTCTACCTGTTTACATTTCTCTTCCAAGTTTCCTTCACCAGGGCCTGAGGAAGCTGTTGTTGTCCTAGCTGGCAAATCCTCACCCACCCAACTATGCATGGTCTGGGTTCGACAAACAGGGAAGTTGATATTATTTAGAGAAAGCATAGATTTCAACCAAATAATCTAAACAGTACACATGCTATCTTTTTGCAGAAGAGTTTTAATCAGTTGCTCGCTTAATTTCAAGTAACAAAAAGCATTAATATTTGAGTTAACCAGAAGAGCATTCCTTTCAGCAGAGGGCAGCACTGGCTCAAAAAATTAAATTCAGCCACAGTTTCCAGGCTTACAGATCCCTTAGCTCTCCTGTGAGGCTTTGCTTTGGCAACCTCCTGATGGCCTCCCTAACCACCTGAAAACCTCTGCCGAGGTGAGGTGTAGAGCCTGGGCAGTGCTGCACTGAGATGACACGTTCATCTGGCCAGGAGTAGGGGAACAGGCTCTTGCATCTGCCCACACCTTATTCTCCTCCTCTCTAAGTGCAGAGGAAGAAGCAGTTAAGAACTTGCAAACTCCTGACTCCAGTCTGGGCATCAGTCTGATAGACCAACACCCTCTACAAATGCCTTTTATCATGCGACTGCTCTGGGGAAGATCCACACTAATATCTACTCACTTTTGACAAATATAATCAAAGTCTCTGTGCATCATTCATGTCACCGCCCAGTCTAAGGCCAACGTGATTTTAATGACCTGAGGCACATTGAACGGAGAAGCTTGCTCTCTCTCTCATGTCACTTTGACTTACACTGAACTGCAGATCAAATATAGATCCACTGAGATTGAGAGGCAGCAGTGACACGTCAGGCAGCTTGTATTAGCACACATCAGCATAGGGCAACACTTCGATTTTCCGATGAGCGTAGCTGATGTTAAATGAGTTAATGCACATCTACTGAGAGTGTTTGCAGACTCTAAAAAAAAGCGTTATTTGAGTGTACTTTCCAGCACACGATTAAGTTAGCTGGCACTAAGCTACAAACTGTCTACCAAACCTCCTGCTTGTTCCTTTTTCAGGTCTAGAATCAGATGAGCATGGACATCCACATTACTGATAAGGTAATATGAAGCACAATGGCTTCATCAGTGCATACAGAATCCAAGCACGTTAGCTTGAGCACAAATTTTTAAACACACAGTTTTCCCCGAAGACTTCTATTAGAATATGCTGTTTATATCCACATCCTGAAAAGGAAGAATTTGTTTAACAGATTTAAATACAGAATTCACGTGCAGATTAAATCCACATTGCTATTGTGTTTTATATACAGCACACACTTAATATATCATGAAAGACTTTTACAAGTCATGGACAGTTGCATTACGTGTGTCAAAGGCATCCCAAATAAATGCCAGCAAAAACTATGCAGCACTGAATCACCACATATTCGGATTACTCTTCTATCATGGATTACAACTCCTGATGTGTGCTGTTTTGTGACTGGGCACAACAAAAACCGTAGAAAAAATGGTCATTATTTCTGGAGAGCCTCATGTTACCCCAGAAATCAAGCTGATGAAGGCTACTCTGAGTAACTTTGCCCCTTAGAAAATGGCATTTTTTGCAAAAACAGGTTTGAGGACTAGAAACAATGGTTACATTTCATTAACAACTGAGAAACTTCTATTATAAACTCTGCCATGATATAAGTCTGATTTCCGAGGGCGAGGTTCCCATGTATAAACTAAGAAAGAAGATAAACTACTGAAGTAAGAGGTGGTTTGTAATGAAAACATGCACTTTAATCTGCACAGAGTTTCAAAACGCTAGAGTAAGTATGGCAGACATCCATCATAGTGCACAGAGAACAGCCTATGGTCTATTTATTGGGTGTCTCTACAATGCATCATGTAAATATCACCTCTAATCTCAATTTTCAAACTAGGTACCTCACCTATTCCTATGTAGGTTTGTGTGTATTTATATAAATAGCACGCACACACAAACATATTACGCACAGACACATAATATAAGCATGAGTATACACTTTCTGTGAAGCAATTTCTTCTTATGTTATCATGCACTAGCTCTTACTGTTTCAGCAAACTAAGGAAATGTGCTTATATGAACTGCTTTCAACCCAAAGGATACTTAGAAGGCTGTATAAAGAGAAGAGATTAATTTTAAGGAAAATGACTCCAGCACCGTGTTTCTAACAAGCACGTGGTGATTTTCTGGCTGCTAATGTTGGGAAAACCCATTTTCCTTACACTGCGTACACTAAAAACATTTGGGCTCCAATAGCTCTCCAGCATCAAATTCAAAACAAACAGAAAATGACAGCTATTATTTTGAAAACACAACTAGGACACAGAGATCCTTTTTGTTCTAATAGCATTAAATCAAGTAAACACTGAAGTCCACCAGGTGCCATTTTTGATGTATTACACTATTTTTCCTAACACTGACTATATTTAAATACCTGAAACAAATTCCTCTGTGCATTTAGGCTGAGTTTGACTTCTTTAGGAATATCCCTTGTCTAAAAGGCTGACCTCACCAGTATGGACATAGTCCTATTTAAGACTCCTTAAGACTGAAATGACACTCTAAGGCCTGGTTCTCTGGTAACTTGGCTTTTCATGGAGTGCATGAGATGCACAAATCTGGTGTAGGAATACTGCCAAGAGTGCTAGATAAACCTCTGACACAGGAAGGCAAGGGCCTCCAACTGGAGAATATTAAAATAATTTGCCATTTAAAAGCATTTCTGCAAATATCCTCTCTGCCACTGCTACTGTAACAGGCCATGACCAGCAGTGCTTATTGCCTAACACCAGTAAAGATGAACGATGCCACTGCAGCTCACAGAGTCTTTGGGAGCTCTTTTACAGTGAAGCTTCTGTCCCAGAGTTGCTCAAATCCACCTGATGCTAGATGGAAAATTAAAGCTCCAGGAGAGATTTGAGAGGTCTCATGGCATCACGTTGCAAATGAGCCAAACTTCATTTCCTTAGCAGTGTTTGCTTTCTTGTCTATCACTGCTCCTTCTACAGACATCACAGCAATATTTTATCCAAACCTGCTCTGGGCTATATTGATAAATACTATTTCCTTATCAAAGTGACAATGTCAATATTTCTCAACAAATGACATCTAGGATTACTAGTTAAAGAAATAAATACATCTTCATTGCCTGTCTGGGCATATGAAGAATTTGTTGACCTGCAGCTTTCTCTCCGAAATCTTCAACATCTTCCAGTATAATTCAGAAACAGTTTATTGATTAAGCAGTTTTAGGAGAAAAAAATGATCCCAAACTTGTTTTCTTTGGATGCTTCTAAAGTTCACCTGTAAACCTGTAGTGCCAATCCAAGGAGGGCCCTACCCCTAGGTAGTCTGAGGGGGACTTCATCTTCATGCAAATCGCAGTAACACAAGCACCCTCCTCAGTTTTTTGATTCATTGCAATGATTCCAGTTTCTTACCAAGTCCCCCCCACTGTCTGTATTCAAGGGCAGCTTGGCCAAACTCGGGAACGAGTGGGATTGTTGAAAGAAAAAGTTTTCCCAGCTCCGTAAGTGGAAGGCAGAGCACGATGTACACGTGATATGAGGCTGCCCATAACGTGTAAAAATGCATTCAGGATTGTAAAATAAAACGACTGTAGGAATGTTTCATCAACAGAGAAGCCAGCCAGGATATCTGGCACAAAGGGAAAATTCCTTCTTCCTCGAGGTTAGTAGCCTAAAGGACAATCAGGCAATACAGATCTTGCTATTTATCGTTAAGACCAGAGCTTGGCTGATTAACAAAATGGTAGGCAATGACACTGGCCCTTCACCTCAGAAGGTGTTGCTCCCCTTCAGCCTGTACAAGCTCCTCCTGAACACTAAGATCCTGTGTGCCCACACAGACAACTCCACCCGCTCAGATGCCGAGCACTCGTGTTTAATAAAAGTTTCCATTCACCTGAGCCTTGGACATGAGGCTTCTTTAGGCTGTGGCCAGAGTCAAATCAGAAGCCTCATTCTCATTTCCATTCTCAAATTGATGGCTCTTTTCCAAGATCAAGGTATTTTCCCACACAGAGCCCAAGCCTGTCATCCAAATTCAATAAGCACTTTACCTACGTAAGGGTTGCATAATAACTTTGCTGGCAATACTAGCGATAACATGGTGAAGGGACTGACTTAATGTCCTCAGACCAGTCATCACAGTATTTGCATTGCCATTGTGTTACTTTTCTTTGTGGTAATTAAATGGCTTTTGTAAAATGATTTCATCAAATCTTAAACATTTTCTAGAGATGGAAAAAAAAATAATCAGAATTGACACCTGGTTGCAGAGCGGAATGAACCAAAGCAGAAGAAAGTCAAGTGCATCGCACAAGGTTAGACACTACTGCAATTAAAATTAGAGCTGAGTTATCTGAAATCCTGATCCGTGCCCAACCCATTGATATATTCAGCTTGGAGAAAAAGCAGCCAGTGGGCTGTAGGTGCAGAAATTACCAACTGGAGCTCTCCTTGCCCTGGAACCACATCCCATCCAAGTCTCCACGCAAAGCTGCGTGACCTGCTCCTACCCAATGGCCTTTGTTCAGCACGGACAACAAATGCCTTTCACCTTTCTTCTAGCACTGCTTGCAGGAAGTAATTCTCAACCTGAATGCAGGGTGAACACCCCTTAAGTACTAACAATCTTTAAAACAAGACAAATATTTACCTGTAACACACTGCAGATCACTTTGTTTTACACATAAAGCTTGACAATAATTTTGACTGTACATAGTTCACAGCTACTATCAGCAGATTAAATGGTTTCTGCCCTGCGAGGGAATCACGGCACTTTGTCAATGACACAGTGATATCAACTGTACGTTCCTCAAAGTACATTCACTAACTATAAAACATGATCTGTAGTTCAAGTCAGGTGTCAGACACGTTAAGTGTGCTCATTAAGCGTGTTTAAGTAGTCACAAGAATATGCAAGTTTTATTAATAAAAGTTGCATCATTCAGTTTGAAAAAGAGTTTTGGACTAAATGCCACTTTTTGTTCTATTTTTCTCCACTGCCTTAACACGACAGGGCTGGGACCTCTGTGACCATCACACAGTGAACAGTAGCAATGGACAGATGATCCCTGATATAAGGATAATCTCACTATTGACTGAAAATATAACCCATTTCTTGAACAGATCCCTTGATTGCTACCATAGGATCAGATCTGCATGACTAATTGCCATGTGCACACAGCAGCCACACATGTTCCCCAACTGACAGAGGTCATTTATATACTTCACCACCAGCACTAGCAAGCTTGTTTTACCTGCATCTGCTCAAAGGTAACACCCAGACAGAACAGCACAGCCATCAGACACGCAGATGCTACTTGCTTTAAGGTAGCATTCAGTAACTCAAATCTGGGTGAGAACCACACGGGCTGCGGGACTACATTTCTGGTGGAAAGAGTCCCTGTCTCCGTGACCATTTGAGCATCAGCATCGCTGTTCCACCGAGCCAGGTGCAGTAGTACACAGGGACTGCACTGCACCAGCCAAGGCTCCTCCGTACCAAAAATAAAGTGTGCTCTTTCACTGAATTCTTGTCAGTGTCAATTTCACTGACTCTTGTCGGCTTGCAGGAGCCCAGCCGATTCCACTGGTGGTCTCAAACCCAGACTCTATTGAAAAATTACCTTATTTTATCCCCTTTACAGGCCTCTTGCAGTACTTTGATTATTTGAACACTGAATTGGTTCTTCTCCTTCTCCTCCATAGCCTCAACTGCTCTCTCCATTTTTAGGTTGTGCCAATTTTTATAATGCATGGTTTGCTTTGCACTCGGAAAACCTCAGATCTTGAAAGCCATTGTAATACCTTCCACAAGGGTAGAATGTTCTGATCCTTAAATGAATTATCTGGATATAAAAAAGGTACTTTTTTCCCAGGTCATAGCCTCCAAAATGGGAGCACAATTTCGTTTTGTGTTCTTCAGAACATTTCACCTGTCTGGGTTGGCCCTTGGTAATCCAGTTTGTTACTGCATAATGAATTTATTAGTCTTTTAATTACAGTCCTGACAGAGATAACAGCCAATGATTGCTTACAAATCCTTTGCTGCAGTGTATCTTCTATAGCTCATGGTTTGTACTACATTCTTAATAAAATCATAGTACAGCAACAGTGTGATGAAATAAACATCACCTGGGCATTCATCTTCAGTAGCCTAAATTAGCTTAACTGTGTGATAATTTATTTGAAAGCTACAGGCACCAGAAGTAAATCCAAGTCACGTGCAGGTTTAATAAAAAAAATTCAGATTCAGTAATCTCTTATCAGCCCCCGAGGTGCTTGCCCAGGCCCTGCTGATGTGGAGCTTGCTGGAAGTTTTGGCAGAGCTCTGCACATCTTTGTAACAGGGAAAAGGATGGACACCGCACTGCGAACACCTGCTCCCCACATCCCGCAGCCTCACAGCTGATTTTTTCAGCTGCTGCAGAGACTCTTTACTCAATTTTGCATGCAGCAATGATGACCCCTAACGGTGGAATACTGCTGAGCAATATGCAGGGATTTTGCTTTTTAATTTATATTTCTAATTACATTAATTACAACTCTATCTTGCAGACCACCAGCAGAGTAAACTGCTTGACGTTTACTCAAACTGTAACACGGAAGCAGCTTCTTTCCCTGTTTAATTCTTTCTGACTTTGTACAAGGAAGCATCAAAATGGAACTACATATTCTAGACCTAAGTCCAGGATTTAAAGTTACCCTTTTTCTCTGAGGCTGACTATTTTGCAGAAGCAAGTTTCAGTCACACTGGTGTGAATAATCTCTGCAGAAAGTCTGCAGGAAAGAGGATGAGACATCTTTCTCTAGATCCAATCAGCTGTATGCCAGAGAGCAAAGAGCACGCAGCCAAAAAGATTCTTTGAAGCTGTGTGTCAGCTAGCAGATAATGCTGCAGTTGCAGCACCTTTGATAGCCAGTGATCTTTTCATCAGAATCAAATAATCACTAATAACAAAAATAATAGTACATTATTCTAGTATTAATTCAACACTTTAAGTGCATGTAGAGTGCAAAAATCTCATGCAATTTTTACATTCTGAAAGGCTTAAAGTTTTGGTGTGTGGCTGGTTTTTTTTTAAATCCACGTACATCTCAAGCCTTTAAGTCCTACTGGAATCCATTTCTACATCTGGACTGGGAAGAGAAGGCAATTTTGAATCGTGCTACAGATGCAAAGGTACATAAAACTAAGTCTCACTTTTCTCTTGGGAGAGATAAATATCACTACCTGCCCCATTTTAGCTTTCCTGACACCTGCATCTACACAGCAAGACAAAGAACAAGGTAACTCTATTCCCCAGGTCTGACCTAAATGTGTCAGCTTTTTCCAGGTTGAGAGAAACACACAGCTCTTAGAAGAGTTGAGAGCCCCTGGCAGCTTACTGATTTGTTTACTTTCTTTTAAAAATATTACAACACATAAGTCATGCAATATTTCATCCGAGACTACAAAGCACAAAGCCTTCATCTAAATAAACAAAAACCTAGCGATATTTCTAGACTGCTCAAGAAAAAGTGTATTTTGAAACTATGATCTCTTTTTGCACAGTAATAGCTGTTAAAGTCACACAGCTAAATACCTACTAGGAAAAAAACTATATGAAAACATGCTTCAGAAATGTGTCTTTACCAGATTGGCAATTGGTAGGTAAAATCCATTTTTTTAAAATTAGAACCTAAGCACTGATTTTTTAATTACCTTTATAACCATTATTTGATGGGTTTGGTCATTTGGGCCTGGGGTTTTTTGTAGGTTTTTTTTTGGAAGAACAATAGTTACCGTAAATGCTTCATCCTCCTGGCTTACCTTTCTCACATCTGAACTCTTTGGTTCTGTTGTCCAAGTTATAATTCTAGATACAGCAAGTCTTGTCTCACTAGAGTTCACAAAGTCAGTTGGATCCATCTGTCTTGCCAAGGACTCAATATACTTCAGGATAGCAACTTTCACCTGAAAAGTGAAATGGGATTTGTTAATCTCATAAACTGGCAAAGATGGATTTTACCCCATTATAAACAGATACCACTAACAGATTGACAAGATCTATGTCACATTGGGGAAAAAAAACCCCATCCCTGTGACATGTCTATGTCGTGTTTCAAAAATGAGGAGCAACTTTCTACCCAGATAAATTTTGTGTAGTTGGAGTCTGGAATGGTATACCAGAACTGGATTGAAAAACGTATCTCTGTTTGTGCATTTACATAAGCAAATCAGTGCTCCACCAGGCTGTTTCCACCAGCGGTTATTGCTCCAGATGCTAAACCTTAGATTTTGGCCTCAGCCCAAATGCCTGATGCTGGAGTGTCAAAAGATCTCAAATTTGTGAGATTTAAAGAACACTCAAGTCATTTGGCATCTTGTATATTCTTGTCTTTGGAAGATAAGTATGTATGACTTCCAGAGTTTACAGTGTTCCTACAACCTTGAAACAGCAACCTCCTGAGAAACAGTTTGCACAACAGCATCTCTATGGGAGGATTCAGTAACAGAAAGCTCTGAATTATGTTTTTTTTTTCTCAAAACTCTACACTTCCTATGTCTAATCTGTGCAAAAATCACTTAAGGTAGGCCTAGCTAATCAACGTCCCAGCTGTTCAGACTGGGTCTGGTTCCATCTGTCCTGCACAGACAGGTTTTCTTCCCACCAAGACCAGGGAGAACAGGAATTTTCCACGTCTAAACTTTAATATGTTGCAGTGTGCCTAAAGCCCAACTCTCACTGACTTCTGATGAGTCACAGGGTCCTATTTTAAGGATATTTCGATTTATTAAAATGGAGAATGAAAGAGTTAATCAAAGTTGCCAATATCTATATCACGCAGGCACTTCCAATTATTCATCTTTGTCCTGAGTTCCATGCTGTATGGTATGTCTGACATGGCAAGCTAAGACAACCGTGTTGATGCTTTAGTGAAAAGGCTTTTGATACTGACCTTCAGGTTTGGAGTTTGGGTCTGATCTACAATAAACCTCATCAAAATGTTAAATTGTTGATCAAACGGAAAAGAATCTCTGTCCAAAGAAAACAAAGGCAAAAATGTAATGCAACATACATTTTCAGGACTAAATTGATACATTAAAGCTTTCACAACAGATTTCAGCACTTATCATGCTTTTCTTAACATCAACCAGAGAAACTCCAAGTCTAAGAATTAGCTGGTTATTGATTTTAATACTACCAAAACCTGCTAAATCAATATCTTTACACACTTACTTTATCTACTTTATCTATGTTCTGTACACTCATCCAGCTCTTGGAACACCTGTGCTCTGTTCCCTTCTCTGTAGTAGCAGACTGGTTGATCTTTTCCTCAGAGTTTATACCTGGTTTTGATTCCAATCCTCTTTTTCCCTCCTCTATCCTATTTTCTCCTGGGTTGCTACTACTTATTTCTTAATTATGCCATTTCCAGGACAAGTTGAACATTATTGCAACAGTGTCCTGTGCTGGACATCCTTCGAAAAGGACACTGACTACAGAATCTGTGTGCACATCACAGTAACATTCAAGGTCTTATCGTGAAATTACTGTTATTTGCTGTTTGAACACATGAAAGATGCTCTGAATTTTGTGGTAAAGCACCATTCATATTCTGAATACTGCAAAAATACATTCAAAAAGAAAACTGATATCAAAGCACACGCACACCAAAAAAGCAAATCAACAAAATTAACCAGTTACCCGTTTTAAATGTTATGCTTTAAAGTCATCTATTCAGAAAAGAGTCAGGCCTTTTTAATTCAATGCTTGAAATACTGTGACATAACTTTGTCCTCCTTTATTCTGGTATTCATCAGGACTGAACCCTCAAAATATACAGCACTACTAGGTTTCTAAAATGTTCATCAGGTGCCTTCCTGTAATCCTGCAAAACCCTCCATAACATCTGCCACCTGAATACTCTACCTGGTGACATCCAGAGCTTTTTGAACTTTTGCCTGCACAGACCCCAGCAAATCTGCTCCCATTTTCTTTAGCAACTGGGTCAGGAGAACAAAAAGCCAATCCTGCAAGTCATCTTTATGAATGATGATGAAATCAACCAGGGTTTCCAGAAACATGCTGAAGACCTATTAACAAAATAAGTGTCACAAAGAGGAATACTATGCTTTAAATAAAAATAATCAAAGGGGAGGGGTTTACAATCGGAGTTTCAGGATGATTTTGTTACAGACAGTTTCATGAATGAATGATTTTAGTGACTACATTGCTCTCAAAAGAAGGTATCAGACAAGACACGTCTAAAATGTGTCGTATTAAAATACTACATGAAACGAATGAAGGAAGGGGATAGAATACACTTACTCTCTGTTGTGAATTCCACGGCAAAGCAGGCCATGCAACAAAACAAACCACTCGTTAGAACACATAGTGATCAAGGCTGGTTGTTCAGATGCAGTTGTCAACAGATAAAAGATGCATTCATTGAAAGTTTACATTTTTCTTAAAACAAAATCTCTCCTCAGCACTTACTTAAAACGTTATATACCTTGGATCAGCTCCAGTCTCCTCACTCATGAAACTAACATGTGTTTATGCACGTTTACATACGTTTAACACCACAGGTAATGAGTTTGTAGCAGTAATTCTATAAAAGCAGTGCAGATGACAGATCACCGCTGCCAGAGAACATACTTAGTCCAGTGTGCAATAAACCCTCACCTTACTCAGAAATTGGAAATATTATGCAAACAAATAGCTACACCTTCCACAAGACCTACTGAACCTTACAATAGGAACTGTCACACTTGACAGTCTTGGACAGCTCACCCAGACTGTAATTATGGCCAAAAACGCACACATGGAGCAAGACCTGTGACAGGCCACTGTGCCTGCCCAGGGGATTTCTACCTGACAACCATTTATTAAAACTGGTTTACCAAGTGGTCTGAAGTACCAATATTTTTATACCTTTTTCTTCCTCAAAATGTATTTAAACCAACAGCAGATGTTTTTAAAATTATTGATTGCCCTCAAACAGCAAACCTCCTCAGGAAAGAAAGGGCATGAAACTCCTTTTTCCCCTCTCCCTGCTCCTGCTTAGCAGGCAACAGAAGATCACCAGGTCTGAACATGCCTATGGGCCCAACCTCCCCATTCCCTAGCCTGCTTCCTCTAAAGAGATGTCTATAAATTCATGCCACAGCATTTAACTACAAAGGTTAGTGCTATAAAGATGACAAAGTGGTTTCGAGATGCAGAACAGTATGTTGGTGAGACTCTGTACTGCTCCCAGGTGGACACAATACATAAACCCCAGTTCCCAGGATACTGAACTATGGCTGGTCCTTCATGGACCTTACTCTAATCCGTATCACCAAGATACTCCCTAGAGAAGCACAGATAAAACCCAACCCCTCGCTCCAGGAGCTGACATCTGTAGGACACTAGGTTGCCCCTTGGGAAGCACAGAGTAATCGGTTCTTAGCAACCTAAGAGAGACCAAGACACATTCCTTCATTGTAAAACAGATAAAAATCAAGGGGATTTATAAATGCCAGCTTCCCCCGGCAGATGGCAGGGGTAGAAATACAAAACATTCATCCTGGAACAGTGTCAAATGTGCACACATGGTAACGTAAGAGAGTGAGCCAAGTCTTTGTGATCTTACCTTGCTGTGAGGGTCAGCAAACATGCGAGTAAATATTTCACACAGCCTTTTTAACTCGACTCGGCTAAAATACATAAATAAAACATGGTATTAATACTAAAGCTCTCGTTGCAGCAAAAAAGCTAGTAAATATTAACAGCTGGAAAATGTAGCCTTCTTTATTTAAACATTACTTAAGTCACACTTTGAAAACTCTGTATCGAGGCAAAGCCTTAACTGGCATTGCAGTTTAACTGCTGGGTTCACAAGTCTTACATTAACAAATCTAATAAACATGTTTTTTTTTAAATCATAAGCCAGGCAACTTGTATTTTCTACTACTTCTATTTTCTTCTATATTCTAGATTTCGGAAGATGCTTTGAAATGTGCACATTTGGGAGGTATTTACTTTCTGCCTGCATCAGTGAAACACGGGTCTTTTGCAGCCTAGGAATAGGTTTCTCAAGTCTGCTTTGTGTCAGGGAACTCAGATATTCAAGTACAAACAAAACTTAAATGCTGTTCATTAATCAAATATTTTGGTATAAATTCTCAGTTGCTTCAGTAAAAGTGGTCTAGAATGACACAGTATGAACATACACCAGAACTGATGCCAAAGACTGAGAGCAGGCACATTGAGGACACAAATATATAGAGATGGAAGACTGATTAACAAGTGGGATACCTCATAAGTCATAAGATATTAAACCAAGGCACAATCTAAGTTCCTATGAATAAGAGATTATTAGGTGCTCAGTAATGCTTTTTTTTTTTATGCCAGAGGAAAAAAAGAGATGTAACGGGTCCCTTTCACAAGATACTGAGTTTGAGTCAAACACAGAACTTTGCAGCATATTGCAGCTCTTATTTGCAATGTATTGAAAATACAAGTCATAGCTTTCCTGCAAAACAAATTGCCAAAGAATGTAGAAGTTTTGCTTGCTTACTGTGCAAACAAAACCAGAGCAAGACAGTTAGCTAACATTCCCTGCATACTATGGATGCAATTAGATATTTTTCACAATCACTATGAAATCAGAGCAACTAGTGAAATGCACATCGATTACTCAGAGAACAGCCGTTTAGATCTCGACTGTAGAAACTCTCTTCCCAGAAAGACAATAACTCTACAATCCACCGACATACCTCCCTCTCTCTCAAAATAGCTTCAAAGAACAAGCCAGAATATACGAGTAGCCTGCAAGTATTTTATGTTGGCTTGTTTATAAGTAACACAGGACATTTTTTCATATAAGCATATGCATGAAAGACTGATCAAATTTTAAAAGGGCACAGAGACAATGGTCTTAAGAGCTTGATGTAGAGGAAAAAGTCTTTGTAGTGATGCCACAGCAAGCTGCCAGCCTCATTCAGGATGAGACTGCAGTGTATCAAAATGACTGTCCCACAACGCTCTCCTGACTGCATGCAGATTGCAGCTCCCTGAATGAACTCTATTATTACTCTAATGAATTTTCTTTCTGGACAAAGTTTACATGAAGGCTGCAAGTATAAGCAGATCTCACGGACCCAAGGTAACAATGCAAGTACTGAATTGAAACAGGCAGTGGAAGAACATTTCCTTAAGGGATTTGTTGGCCCTAGTTTAATTTAGAAGACCTTATGGGGAGCCCTTTAAGAACTAGGTCACATGAAGCTGCAGGAGACAAAGAGCATGGGTAAGTGCCACACCACTTTGCATGCACATCTTTCTGGATACGCAAATCTCAGCTAACGTAGGATCAGCCATCTTTCAGTTCAGAGCACTAAAGAAAACCTAGCCACATCACTGCCTTTTATTAAGCTTGTTATACCACAACAAAAGATATCAGGTTTAATTAGAAGACAGACTTGCCCCTTGGACTAATGACCTTGGTGATGTTCTGCAAGATGCCGTGGGAACAAACAGGATGATAAAATCTAATTATTAGAACAGGCACCAGATCAACCCTAAACCAAGGAGGAAGCAGACCAAAAAGAAATATAATCTAGAGAACTAAAACTGGTATCAAATTAAAAAAGTAACTCCGCAAGGGTGTAGTTTCTGGGACAGGCTTATAAACTATACCAGATCAAAGCTAAGTAAACATGCTAGATTGAAGGGCTAGTGACAGCAGCTCAGTTCAAACACTGTTTTCAACAGGATTGAAAACAATAGTTGAATTCTACTGGCATTTCTGCTAAGAGCTACTGATCTGAGCTAAACAGCTCATCACCCAACCTTCTCAGCATTTTGTCCCTTGAGCTATCCTCAACAGCACTCAAAACCTTGGTTATAATCCTCACACACCTTCGTGGCAAAAATCAAAGTCTCGCTCAACTTTTTCATGCAAGTATATGAGGTACCAGAGTCTTTCCAGACAGTTCATTAAAATAAAGTAAAAGGAAAAAAAAGCATGCATGTGGGAAGTATTTTAAAAGACTTGTAAACAGACCACATCAAAAGCATCTCAGATCTAGACTCAACTACCTGTATTGAAAACCTGTAGCACTTCCCACTTGAGGACTGCACCACATCATATGAAGTACTAGAATATTTTTAAGATGGCAAGAGAATAGCCTTTCCAGGCCTGCTCTCAGTACGTTTTCATTCAGCCTGTGAACATGAGCCATCAAATATTTTCAGCCAGCATGAAGGCCTTTTAAAATGGAAACAATTGCGCAAATCCAAGTAGGTAGGCTATAAACTGTACAACAACCGCTTATAAACTTGATCATAATTTAAGTACATAATATTCAGAACAGGAAAATAAAAACGTTGCAGCTATTTGTGAATGTTATCTTCAAAGGAGCCAAAAGATAAACAGCTTGTTTCCAAATACTTTTACCATAAACTAAGGGTGGAAAGCCTATGGCCTGAGAGCCAGTTGACTTTAGTTGACATGACCTGTGGCCATATGAAGTTTCCACATGACTATTGGATAATTCTAAGATCTGTTTTAACGTATGACATTCCAAAGGTGTTTGAAGGGTTTATGTGGCTTTTAACAAGGGAAAAAGGTCTGCCTCTCCTACTATAAGCAAAGTTTCAGAGTTGGTACAACTACTTTATTGCCTTAAGAAACTTCCTTCTGCATTATAAACAACGCTATTTATAGGAAACTCAAGTTGCTGATATAAGATTTTTCAATAGTTACAAATAATATCTATAATTATACCTAACACAGCCTTCATAAAGGGTCAAAGTAAACTCAACATACTGAGAACATTGTCTGATCTCATCTTTGAAACAAACACACCCTGAGTCATGTTAAAGTAAGTGTGGTGCTTGCTTCACCAACTAAGTTGCTGGGAAAGAAAAAATATTGAAGGTTCAAACAGACTGATGTAAAAATGGTACCACCCTTTGAGCGCATTTACATTACCATCATTGTGGGAAATCTCACTGTGCTGCGACACACACCTGCCATTGGAGGTCTTCATGAGACAGAGGAAGGCACAAAGAAAACAGGATGCTTACCAGAGTCCTGTCTACATTACTGATACAAATTTAACACAAATTGTACTGATAACACAGCAGAATTTTTTTCCAAAAGTAATTAAAGTCCCACATTGTGTAGACAAAGCCATCACAGCTGTGAAAGATACTGTCTACATAAGGCAGGTAAATATTACTGACTTCTGACTTTAGCCATGTCTCATGAATGACTGACACTATGAAACTATCAAGGTCACCTCAGTGTCCGTTGACTTTTCAGTAAGTTCTGAAGACCTATCAGGCCCTCTTTCCTTTCAGACCAGTTGGAGCTGGCGCAGTGGTTCAGGACCTCAGCCACATCTTCTGTCTGCCGCAGGTAGTGTGGAATGCCCCCGTTCCTGGAACCATAGGAGCGCTCCGAGCAAGCACTTGATGCATCGCTGTTAGCATCGTCATCAGAGTACATCCCATAGGGTTCATATCTTCTTCTCACTGGCTTTTTCTGGAAAGGGGGAAACACCGACTTAGTAAATTATAGACAGTTACATCAATGACCAAAGAAAAACATTCCATCCATGATCACTAAAAAGAAGACTAATGCTATTGTTATAGTGACATAAATGTTTTAAAGACGTCACCAAGCACTGCCTGCTTACCTCTCACAGTACAGCAAGACAGATCCCATTGAGTTCAATGAGATTATTGGAGTGACTAAGGGGAGCAGGGGCTGCCTTCCCCAGCATGAAAGTGAGATAGTTATGCCCACTGGAATTAGCTACTGGTAGTGAAATCAGATGTTGTTTGGTCAATAATGGTCAGTTTCATTGTTACAGATTCTATGATGATACAACCTCTACTTCAAGAAAAAAAAAAAAAAGATAAGGAAGAAAGAGCTGAAGGAATCTGTGCTGGCATGCACGGTCACTTTTATATTGATAATGAAGTGACTCTAGAAATGCACTGGGATACAGGAGATGACAATTTCTCTGTTAGTTTGGGCTAGGATTTTTCTAGAGGCTACTAAGGGAGTTGAGTACCCAAACAGCGCTCATTTCCATAGCACGGCATTAGATTATCTAATTCTCTTAGGTACATCTTTGACAACCTTAGTCCTCACAGAAGAGAAATTAGAATAATTATGGTAGCAAAACAAATTGCATACTATACTGCAAAACAAACTCTTAAATGAGCCGTAACAGAACAGGATTTATAAAATATAGGCAATCTTTTTCCGATACATTCTAAAGCCTTTGCTACAGAATTCCTTCCAATGTCCAGTCCTGCAGTTCTTGGCCTCGTGAAGCCAGCAGTGTTTTGCTTCCACTAAGACTGCAGGACTGAAGCCCAGAGATTAACTCAAGTGCAGTATCATGGGCGTTAGCAACAGAGTGGGGAAAGTTGGAAAGTAGAAATAAAAAGTCAAGAAAGCACTAGTACCTTGCTCCTGGAGTCTCCTAACAGCTGTAGGCAGGAAAATATTGAAGGGTGGGAAAAAGCATAGAGAATTATGTCAGAAGCTTATGTAGGGTTTGTTTTTGCAACAAAAATGTATAGCAAATGTGTCTTAGCAAATTAAAAAAAAATAATACAGTTTACGCAAAATAAAAGTGGGTATAATAACGCCTGACTATTTCCTAACTGCTGCACTGCTTATATATCCTACAATTTCCATTAGGGAGCCTGGAAGTGAGATTATCTGTTAAATAAGTTTTTTAATGATAGATCTATATACAGTACCTCTTTGCTTACTTTTCAGAAACGCTGCTCTGGAAGATACCAGAGTTTTTGATAATGATTTATTTCCCCACACATTATCAGTAGCATTTGATTTCAGAGTCTTGGAAAGAAATTCTGATGTCAGGAAACCACTATCTACAGTACAGCACATTTAATCTACTTCACTTAACCAAGTTCTCTTTCAACTCACAGTTCTTATACCACACTTTTTTTGAAGCTTAGATTCTTTCAAGACCCCCTGGCTGGTATCCCTGACTTAAAAGTCTTACTTAATGCTAAAGTTTCCATCACCCTTTGAGCTCCTCTGACAGATCCCAGCACTGATTCCCAGTATAGACACTGTGGGTTTAGACCAAGTCCAGCTCTCAAACAGAAGCAGTGGATCCATTGGGAATTGTACACAGGGAGTAGAGGTCACAAAATGACCCACTGGATTTTGTTTAAGCTGAGTATTTGGCTAAAGCCATCTTCGGAGAAGTGTTTTTTATTTCCTACTACAGGGAAAAGAATATTCCTCTGTAAACAAGGCTGCTGGGTAAAAGCTGGCATCACATTACTCTCTCAAAAGGAACCTGAGCAGAGTTTGCAAATTGCCTGTTGTGAGAAGACAACCAAGAACAAATTGAGATAGTGGGAAAGAAGGGGACAAGACTGCATTGCATTCCCTAAAGTCATACAAATTCAGATTGATCAACCAAGTCAGCAGCAGCACTTAGTTTCCTGCTAGACTTAAGGATTTCTCCTTTAGGTGTTCAACCTTTTAAGATTTTAACTTTGCAGTATAATGTTATTTAGTTTAAAAGAGTGAAATATTTAAAAGGGAACTCTGTAAGTCTAGCTGAAGATTAAGTCACGCCAAGGAGATCTCAGTGATCAGCAGTAAAGTGAAACACTGTGACCCTCTCTCCCCCTCAGGAAACCTATATTCAGCAAGGGCTCGTGTTCAGGGACATGTTCATTCACACAGATAAACCATCACCTGTAATTATGCCCTGAACTGCTCTGGTGGTAAATTTGAGATGCTGAGACCAGAAATTGGATCACAAGCTGTTGTATTTGGTAATGAAAATGTCCACTAATGATTCAGTCCACTAAATGCAACAGTGCCATCTATTATACACCCATGCATTATTCACAAATACTTTTTAACAGAAAGGTAGATTTTGTAAAAAATGACATTTCTCTAGGAGTACGCTAATAATCATCTAGAAATGGAGGTGACATGAGCTGGGTGATAATCAACATAAAAAGGAAAGTGTTATCCATCCCCAGAGAAAGTTGAACTAGGAAATGGAGAAAGGGCATTATCACAAACTCTGGGGACATGGTTCATTCTCCATAAAGAGAGATCAGTGATATCAGTCTCAAGATACATCAGGAAATCCTCCCCTCAGTTCAGGTCCAGAGCTGCAGAAGACTCAAGGATACCCAGCTAATGCTGTAGAATAATTGCTCCTGGCTCTAAACATCCTCTCCCTGCCAAATACTCAAGGTAAATCCAAAGGCTTATCTTAACACTTGTCTTCTGAAGAGCAGAAAATACTTTATGGGTTCTGGCTGAGAGATACTATGGTACAGTAAGATTACACAGGACAATAAAATTTTTAAAAATGACAATAAATTTATACTTGGAAACATACTGAAGCAAACTAGACACATACACTTCAACTTAACCACATGAGATGATACTGACTGCAGGCAAACCAAGTTATGAGCTGATCCTAGTATCCAGCCGGGTGCAAACAGCACAGGGCAGGAACTTGTCAAATTCCCAGTTCTTGTTGAAATCTGATCAGGAATCGACACTAAGAAAACACTGTGTTTTTCTGACAAAGTCTTCATGCAGGTGATGGGAGTGATGGAAATCCCTGACCCCACGAGTGCTGAGCACCCCCCCAGTGTCGCATTTGTCCTCTGACAGCCAAGTGGAAGACAAACAGCTGATTGAACCCATCCTGCAGCTCCAGCACCAAGCCACAGTCATCTGTTTGATAGCAACTGTGGAGAACTAACATGGAATAAGGAAACAAATATTTCTGCCAATATACCCAAAGACACAACAGCAAAAGGTAACTAACTCTACAGCATCAGACACTGGCACAATCAGAACAAAGCTATTTAGAAAGAGGAGAACGTACGTACAGGTAACTTTAAGCCACTTTCCGGTGTCGGAAGCATTTTGTATTTTTCCTCTTACCAGTGCATCAGCCACAGCAGCCTCCAGATCTGTGCTTGTGCTCAGGACTCGCATGGTATTCACAGAAGCAGGCATCCTGCCTGGCTGCCCGAGTCCAAACCGGTCTGCACAAAAGACAACATTGAAAGGGAGTGTTAAATGAATTCACATTCATTTGGAATCCTAATCAGGTGCCCGAGCAGCTTTCCCCACGGGCTCTGGGAACTCGCAGTGCTTTTCCATTAAACACTCTTTTATCCACAGCTCTAGAGAGTTTGCCATTAGAGTAAGAAATAAACTATTGTTTGCTGGGCCTCAGAGACAATTTTGGATCCTCAGGGCAAAGTTTTAATATTTTTTATTTTTTTTTAAGCTGGGATGCAGAGTATCTATTTTGTGTTTATTTTCAAACAGAAGTGGTTTCAAAGTTTTATTTTAATGTCAGAGGCAGACATGCTGGTCCCAATCTGGGACTCTCAGAAATCAAGAGAAAGCTTCTCATTAACTTGAGAGACAGAATCGTGCCCAGCCTCAGAAGATGTTAATGCCAGAGCACTCATCCATCCTGCAGCTTTGTCTCAGGCAAGGATGTGAGATCAGCAGCACCAGATTATTTTATGTCTCAAGGCTTGATTAACCAGTAGAACATCCCCCTCAGCCTCACAGTATAAAGAAAAGGTTTATTATTTTCTTGTGAAGTTCTGTTACTGTTCCTGAGAAGCAGTTTAAATGCCATTTAAAAGCTCTATGATATATCAAAATTGAATTTTTTTTAATCAAACAATATAATTGTTCTCACTTTGAATTTGATGGCAAAGCTCTCAATGGCATCCAGAAAAACAGGATTGTGTTGAAAATGCCATTTACATACCTTATACTAATTAGTTTACTTTATCATTTGCCCCGTCTACCAAAAAAAAGTTACTGCAATTAGTTTCTTTGGGCAAATGCCAAATTCAGAAATCCATGCCAGCAGGAATATGAGATAATCAGGGACTACCACAGGCCAGGCTCTGGCAGCGCAGTCCTCCTCCATGGGAGTAGATCAGATACCATGTTGCTGGGATCCTGACTCCGGTCTATAAGCAGCAAGATTGGTTTTGGCACTGTTTTTTGTTTCCATGTGGGCTCATCTTTGCTTAAGAAATGGGAACATCCCTCCTGGGACATACTTTACACCTCCGTTCCCTGCACCCACATGTGCCAATAAGAGTTTTGCCAGCAACTTCAATGGTGCATGAACCCATATAATAGACCTTCAGCTGATCCACACTGGAGGCAGTCATCAAGCAGCACGAGAGAGGGATCAAGTTACACAGGTCTTTTATTAGTTAATCTATATTTAATTTAATAAGGAAATATACTGTTTATCAAAATGTGTAACTATATCATGGATTTCCACAAGGCTGATATTCAGTAGCTTACTGTATTTTTTTCGGAAAACACTGCGCTTGTCACAAAACTTCATTGTTTTCTTCTTTAAAAAATACTGCACTGAAATATCTTTTAAGGAATTAGCTCACACTGACATGCATAATTTAAATCAGACTGAAGTCTGCCAGTCTACTGTCCTAATTCCAAAGCTTTACCTGAGCGTGTCAGAGATTAAGCTGCTGAGGGGAAATAGGGAAGATTTTTAAAATCTGAAGTATTTTGAGAAAATAAAAACAACCCACCCTCAAGACTAGTATTTATTTCAAATAGAAGTGTTATCTATTAAAATTACTGTTTCTCAGAATTATGTGCCCAGACAAGACATTTCTGATTTACAACAAAAGCACATTTTCTACAAAACACATTACAAGGGGAAAAAAAATAAACAAACTTATTAGAACTACTGCCAAAAAGTAATCAAATCATGACATTTCACAAAGAAATAAAAGTTGTATGTGTTATTACTATCCCCTTTTTTAATGCACATGGGTTGAAGAATAATTTCAAATATTTAGGTGAAACAGTACTGCAACCCTAAAATGGAAAGGTCTGTACACTCTTAATAGAAGCACAGAGAAGATGATAACGCATTAGGCCTGATTGAAACTAAAGTCACTACTACAGAGATATACACTACAAAGATGTACAGAAGACAAGTATTTTCATATGAGCAAGTGATATCTGGTACAGTACAAGGGCTGTAAACGTTGAGGCAAGTTCCAGACTCAGTTTTGTATTTAAACCCAACTCAGTAACGTTACTCAAGTGTTACTGAGAGCAGAATTTGACTTTAACTTTTGAAATAACATAGCATCAAAAAAAAATACCACTATCATTTGTTTTCACGTTAATTTAGCATTACATTAGAAAAGGGAAGATAGTTTGGTTTTTTAAAAAAATGAAGAACAGAATGACAAAGTAATTCAGTTGTAGTTCAGTTTAAATACCCAGCATAAAGAAACAAAATGGAGCTTTTTTTAACAAATTAAGTACAGTGTGGCATGCTGGCTTTGATCTGTCTCCATGGCTATCAGGAATTTTCTGAAATACTTCTTTCAGTGATCTTTAAATTTGTAACACTCAAGTCACTCCGGGCTTCTCCCCAGGACGCTGCTGCCATACCTGAGCGCAGAAGGTCAGACCTTTGGAGAGACCTCAGTATATCTCTAATATGGGGCTGGGAAGACATTTGGCTCCAGGAGAAACCAGTACAGGCAAGCCCAGTGCTACTGGGCAAGAAATAAGCAGAGTATGCTCCAGCCACATACCCCTGTCTCCCTGGCTAGGTTCATTATACTTGTTACAAATTTGATTAAAATTCCCAACCACCATTTTCAGCCCAATTTTTAAGGAGATTTTGGCCGCCTTTATGACACAGGTAACTGTATAGAATTTGATTATGCTTTGTACCAAACCACAGGACCCAAGCATAAAGGGGACTATCACAGGAAGTTGAGTGCAAACAAAGCTTAAATCTGTACTACAGTTGAGGAATTTTAAATATTTTCAATTATTTTTGTTAAATTCAAATTGGTACTTGGAAAAATGCCAGTCAAATCAGCTTGCATCATTTCTGCCAAGCAACCTGATAAGGGAAATGTTTGAAAGTTTTAGTTAAGTGACAGCCATTTAACTAGACTTAAGACAAACAGTATTTTTCACTCCCTATGTAAAGGGGCTTAATTAAATAACTTTCAGAATCACTAAATCCTTATGCAATTTTAGCCTCCAAGAAAACATTAAAGCCCATATCTTCTACATCACCTTTGTCCCAACAATTAAGTCTCTATTTTCCCAGAGCTAGCAGCCCTCATTCATTTCTTTTTAAGACTCCCAGTGAGATATCCTGATTTCAAAGGGAGTTACAAGGTTCTCCACAACTGTGAATCCAGCACAGGGGTGGGAAAGAAACAACTGGAATCTACAGATTTTTCTCATACGTAAGCATTATTCTCCTGATGCAAAGCCCTATGAAATTAAGGGAATAATTTTTTTCAACATCTTCCATGTACTTTGGACAAGGCCTTCAGAATTAAATGAAGGATGGATCAGCATGTGTTATGCTCCAAAGTTCATTTTGAAAGCTCATCAGGTGCTTAATTCTTGCTGCTCTTGTGTATTTTGGAGAGGATCCCACAAAGAATTTCAATTAACAGAGACAGGAGTCCAGAATATTTAGTAATAAATGGGATCAAACCCACTGGGATCCGGTTGTAGGCATTGGGAACTGCTACACTGCCAAAGAGAAGATATAAACAGAAGCTGCAAGTACTCTGCATCAGTCAGGATTTAGCCCATGCCTCACAACTGATCCAATTTACAGGAGAATTGAGAAAGCCCTGGATCACCCTTTGTTCAAACACTGTTCACAATGTTCCTAAAATACATAAAATTAAAAACATCCAATAAATGACATTCAAAACAAAAAGCCACGTTGCACAAAAACAGAACAGAAAGCCCCCCCAGCGGTGAGAAGCACATGCCAAGTGCTGGCTGATGCACATGACGGCAAATGTTAAGATGGTGTAAAACAAGACTACGTATAAAGAAGCAGATTCATGCAGTTAGCGCTTGTTCACCTGACTGCCCAACAGAATCAGCAGTGGAGAGAGCACTAGTGGACCTGGAATGACGTCGAGAAGCTGCAAGTAGAAGGAATGGCAACACCCACAGGATTAACACACATTGAACCCGAGACAGAAAATGCCACAATCCGAAGGGGATGCGTGTGACCGCTACCGGTCAAGGTGTCTCATAGTGACGGGGAAATGAGGCTGTGTATGGATGCAGAACAGATAGAGTGCAAGCCCCACAGCGACGCCTCCGTCTGGAGCTTCCCCCCATGACCGTAAACACGATGCAGGACAAAACTCATTTTGTAAGAGTCCCAAACCCAGTGCAATTCAGCAAAAAAAAAAAACACCCCAGTGCACATCAGTCACGTTCCAGACCCACAGATCTGGAAGACGGCCATCACGAGAACGTGGAGCACGTAACCACAGAGCAGGATTTAGATGTGTCTGATCTAAACCCCAAAGTGAAGCCATGACGATGGTTAGGAACTGTGCTTGCAGGTATTTTTCCACAACATTCTAGCCTTAGAACGTTAACAAAGGGAATGAGTAACCACAGAAGTAGAAAGAGTCATACAGGGAGGTCAGGTCTTTGGGTTGGGTTTTTTCCCCCCCAAGTAAACACATGTACACACATATCGTTGCTACTACCAAAAGTCTCTTGCTTTTAACAAATTTTGCATACATGTTTGTTGAATCTAAGTGCGTACATGCACAGATAGTCTGAATTCACACATCATACACCTGTCTGGAATGAGACCACATGTATACAAATTGTTAATAGCAGCGGAGAACACACAGTAGCAGAAGAGCTGGAGCCAAATATAGCTCCCGCTTCAACTCCCAGTTGTCAGCAGCACATGAATTGCAAAATGCCTTTGGAGAAGTTTTTCAGTTCTTGGATTCAGCAAAAAGGTGACTTCTTTATGAAAGCAAATGGAAAGCTGGTGCAGGCATTTCCAAATTATAGAAATTTAGCTTTTCTAAAGAGGTTTTCCCTGTGTCTAGCAATGACATGCTCAGCTAGCTCAAAGCAACTGACCCAAGAAACCAACGGACTGCTCATTTGAGCAATTCATCACCACAGACTCACTGAAGGCCTTGTTGCTTTAACACCATTACTAGTACTGTCAAGAAATTGAAAAAATAAAGCAGAATCACCTTCTAATACAAATAGGCTTTGTCAATTATGCATATACATGTGCAGTAGAAAAACTGTAAGTCTTTTGTTTAAGGCAAAGCATTCATAAACACAAATACTAATATCATAAAATAGAAATCAGCAAAGTAAGAAAAATAAAAATTTAAGTCTTTTCCCAGCTGTGAGAGCTTGCCTAAAAGCTATACAGAATATGCAATGTGGTCTTTAACTATGGAGAGCACATGCATTTATTCAAGAGAACAATCCCACTGGCACCATAAGTAACTCATGAAAGATTTGCAGGGTCAGTGCAGGATTACGGACTGAACCTCACAATTAAGATTCTGAGCTCGCACTTGCTTTCTCCTGAGCCATCCGCTGTGCCCCTGTGGACGTCACTGCAAGATCAAGGCCCACGAAGAAGCAGGAATAACAATTAAAAAAAAAAAAAAAAAATCCCATCTCTGCAAGGAAGCTTGAGTGAACCTCTTCACTGGGGTTTCCTAACTTGGGAAGCGAGGCATTTGGTGCACAGACATGCATCCCTGCACAGCAGCCCCGAAACAAAGCACTGCAGTTTGCAAGGTCAGGATGTCAGCGTTGACATTGACCATGATACCATTAAATGCAAGAATCCTGTCATTTCCATATAGCTAGCTGAAGTATAATTCACTAATATACAACTTAATCTTTATGAGCAAAACCAGATCATGCACAGCAGGATTATATTATCTTAGCATTAATGTACGATTAAACTAGGTTCTAGAAATACCATAATAGAATCATACTGTTTTGCTTAAATTGACATAGAAATTTCTGTCAGGTGAATTACACACTACATAATTAACAAGTTCGTGAACATGATCGAGTTTAAAGCATTTCATTGAAAACACAAGAAAAAAAAGACAATAGGATAACAAGCATATTGGGTTACTGTTACATTGATATTTCCTCCCCACCTTGCTTTAATGACTTTTAATAACAATGTATTTATCTTCAGGTAATTAAATATCATTAGTGAAAAATGAAATTACCTTCTCCCCACAATAAAGTTGGTTACAACCAGTGTAATAGACATCTGTAACTAAAACTTCATATTCAGTGTAGGAGTCAGACTCAGTGGGGGTGGTGTTGTACCAAACTCACACCAACTGATTCTGGTACATTGCATTTATTTTTCAGAAAAAGGGCTCAAGGCAGTATTACTGTTAACACATTTTCACTAAAATGAAACACAGCACAATAACACAGAACACTGATGAGTTAACCCTAATATAAGCTTGATTAAACACTTCTACTTTGGAGAAAATCGTCCATAACTGAAGCTAAACAGGTAACTAAAAATGAGTTGCAGTTGCGTATCTACAGTTCTTTTGTGGCTCAGGTATTAAATCAGCTTTATTTAATCAATAAAAAGTTCATTTTAAAGAGCTATGAGCCAAGTTCTGAGTGTTAAGTTGAACTCCCACTTTTCACCAAAATTTGAGATATAGATAAAGCAAAGATTATTTTATAGACCACTCCAGTTCAAAATGTTAAATCAGCTTTATTTAATCAATAAAAAGTTCATTTTAAAGAGCTATGAGCCAAGTTCTGAGTGTTAAGTTGAACTCCCACTTTTCACCAAAATTTGAGATATAGATAAAGCAAAGATTATTTTATAGACCACTACAGTTCAAAATAATAAAGTTTTGAACCCCAAAGCCTCTCTAATATTAACTTGATGATTCCACTCTACAGCATTGAAATCAGTAAGAATTTTGCCAATGATTTCATATGGATGAAGACAACGAGCCTCTTTACTGAGAGTGTTTGAAACAGAGATGAATAACCAAACCAATAATAACAACAGCTATGTGAGTTTAAAAGATTATTTAAAGTACAGAATATTAGTCCTTAGAACCAAACAGAAAAATTTTGCCCATCTGTCCATATTTTTTATAACTTTTTCTTACTATTGTGCTAAAGTTGCAGAATTAAGTCCAGAGTGCTATATTCCACTTATACACTATTTCATATACCTGTATGGCATCACTGTGTGCAAAACAGATCCTGTAATGATGTTCTTCAGCATTGATGAAATTTGTAAGTTTTTTTCTCACTTTTAATGATGTTCTTCAGCATTGATGAAATTTGTAAGAGCTTTTTTCTCACTTTTAACACCACATGCACAGCTATGAAATTACTACATAAATGAGGGGGGCAGGGAGATCAACTACATTTCATTATGTCTGAGATGACAAACAAATCTCTCATACAAGCAAATGTATTTGGTTGAATATATGATATGGTATTTGATCAGAAACATTAACTATCCTGCTGTTTTCAGCCTTGTGCAGAAAAAAAATTCTGCATGTGGTAAGAGTAATGAGATTTTCTATTTGTACTGTACACTTAGGCTGCACGATAACGATGCTCATGTGCAACCTCAACATTTCCATGATTTTAGGCTGCTTGAAAATGTTTCCTACAAAGTGGCGTGTGCAACTTGTTAATTAACGATTGACAACGTCATGTAAAATCTCTACAAAATAGAGGCTCTACATCTATTGGAGGACTTAGTATAGAAATGATATATATACTGTTGTTGTATCTAGCTGTAAGAAAATCAGATCATGAATACTGAGAGTCACTCAACAACAGGCTACGATGATACTGACTACTACGCTGTGACCTAGAAAATAGAGGCTTGCTCTCCCACAGATTTCCATCGGCGCTGTGAAGCACAGCAGCCCCATAAAAGCTGATTTAATGAAACTAAAAATTTTTAAAAGTTCAAACTAAACTATTTTCCTACTAACAGTGAAACGCTGAGAACCAGAATTGAAGCATGCATAAGAAAACAGGAGGGAAATAGGTTTGGAAGCGGGGAGTGTGTCAGGAATCCAACAGAGGAGAGGAAACAAGCTCATTCCACCTGGCAGTGTCTTGAAAGGGCAATCAGAACACGGGAAAAGGAGGAAAAAGAAAAAAAAAAAAAAAAGACCCTTAAAGCTCCAATGCCTACATGTACTCACCAAGTGGAGGAAAGCCCCGAGCAGGGCTTGTATCTCGACTGCTCTCACGGCTGGTATCACGGCTGCACCCCTGACTCATGCTGGGTCGGGGGATACGACTGCTCCGTGCTAGCATGCAGCATGGAGAGTTTCAGAGAAGGTGAACAAGTTTAATGAGGACAGAAAGCTCAAAGTCAAGTCACATTTCTGTTAGTTACGGTAATTATTACATTAGTAATTATAATTTGCAGCAGCCCGCTCAGGCTCTTTACAAACCAACTACCTTACACGCTGAGCTGTGTTTGTGATGTGAAATTTCAGCAGCATTAAATGTCTCGTTGACAGTCTGCCTTTTTCTTAAGTAATCCAAGTTTTGTTATTCAAGTAGAGCAGGAATCTTCAATCATTTAGGGGAGCTCTACTGTTACAAAACATGCAAAACAGATGAGGCTGAAAGAAACCCTTCTGGAATATCTTTTCCTTAGTTACAAGATAAACATCCTTCTGGAACAGAACACAGCGTTTTTAAACCAGGTCAAATTTTTTAGAAGTAGTCAGAGTACCAATATGTGATTTTTACATAGATTTGCCTTTCACAAGGATAGTTTTGCCAAGAACAAATACGCTACAGAAAAAAAAAAAAAAGGTGTATTGTACAGACTTGCAGAGATACTTTTCTCCAATGAAAGGTACTGGGGAAAAAAGCATTTAGAACCTGAGTAACTGAGTGTCAAGTTAAAATGATTTTCTATCAGCAGCAGCTTCAGAGCTTAACAGATGCTACCTAACTTCTCCTCAAACATGTCTAAAACCTTGTATTTATGGTTTTATATGCACAGATTGAGACATATGCACACTTAAGGGGAGCTTTAAACTATATTCTTTACTTTGACAAAACCCTACATCAACAAGGCTCTTATCTTTGGTTGAGGGCTATCAAGTGCTCAATTTTCCACAGCCTAATAAGGCTCACGCCTACCAGCTGTGTCATGGGAACTCATCATATGCACACTCTTCATCTGGCCAAATGCAAAGTACAAGACAGAAGATGAAGCTGCTTTCATAGCACAAATAATCCCACTGACTTTAGCTGAAGTTTTTTCCAAGTAGGAAAAACAGAGCTAGACCTTTAGAAGGTTGTTTAACATCAAGAATTTGAATTTTATGATTTTATAAAATGAGCAATTTAGGTATTTAAAACTGGATTACTTCTCTGCATTCTGTGTCATTTTGTTATGAGAGATGTTTGCAGAAAGTTATTTAATAAGCTTTATGCCCAGTAGATAATGTAATGTTTTCTTTGGGAAAAGAATAGTAGTTAATCGTCTGAGTCTACCTTGAAGAATTTAATGACTAAAGAGGGATCTCCTTTGCTGTTTTGAAAAGGCAGTAGCATATATTAAGTGTTCATGAAACGCCTTTAAAGATTTTTTTCTTGCACAAAGTCTAATCTCCCAGCTTTGATGACAATGTAGCAGAGGCACATACACATAACATGAACATGCTTTATACTAATATTTTAACAGTGTCCTTGCATTTATAAAAATAGTGCATGCTTCAGAATATATATATTCTTATATTGGTTTGTGTACTGAACTTAAATGCCTAGACTCAAGCTAATAAACTTCCCCTACAGCATCTCTGTGGGCTCATAGACACTGAATCTATCAGTATCCTTTCAAGCGAAACAGTACAGAACAAAATAGAAACCTTCATATTTAGCCTTTAAAATTCAAATATAGACTACTGCCAGATTGTTGATTTGTCAAATCCCTCCCAGCTTTGCAAAACGCAGCTCATATATTTCAGATGAATTAATGGTTCTGATGGTTGACCTTTGATGTTAGACAATACAAGATGAGTTACTGAGCAAGTTGATTAGATCACCATAGTGTCTAAAACTTCTGAGTTAGATGGTGTTATAATAAATAAAACATAAGATGAACTGGATGAAATTAGGGTCCATGAGTACAACAATCCCACCTCAGATATAAAAGGAAAAAAGCTGACAGGTGAACTACAGGTGAAAGTAACACTCTAAAGTCTTCCACACAAATACTTGCTTGAAACCGAGGGCTCTGTAGAAGCAAACTTCTCATTCTTGGGTCTCATGCTTATATGTAAATAATGGCAGCCTTCACATCAGGTTTGCACAAGCACTTGTTTCTCTTAAGTAGAGAAGATCTGTCTGTATATTTTCTGTATATTTTCTATAATACAACCCAACTAAAACTAGTAAAAGCTCTTTAGAGAGGGAGAGATGTGAATGATTAAAAAAAAATATCTGAAGGATACACACTGTACGTTCTCCTTCCATAACAGCTAACAGCAGCAGCACGAAGTATGAAGAAAATGCACTTTAACTGGATGAGAACAAACCAGTACAATAATGCTGCAGATGAAGCACAATATTGACTGCACAAACAGAGCAGCCAAAAACAAACACTGGGTTCTTCATGAGTAATGGCCAAACAAAGAATTGCATGTTACTGGATACAGATACAAAACAAGGAGGGAAAAAAAAAAAAAAAGAATGGATTGAAAAGAACTGAATGATGAGTCTGTTGTGGACTCCCAGGCACCTGCCCCACATTTTTCCTGCTGTGTTGTGTAGGCAAGATTGGATATCAGCTGTTCAGAGTATTTCCTTTGGGCACTGCCAGCAGTAAGGGCCAGTGGTGTTGTCATTTAGATGAGTCTCTCGTACTGTCACAGCCTATCTTTGCAGTGCAGGCAGCAGAGAGGACAGACATAAGTCTTAATTTCAGAATTCCCACCCCCAAAAGTCAAACAGAAATTAGGTAAATGAGTCGCAAAATTGATTAAAAGGAATAGGCGGGATGAAAGCAGACAAGTGTGCCCACAGCCAGCTCTGGACAGAGAGCCTAGGACAGGAGAAGGTTGGCTTGTTTTCAATAAAATCCCAACTTTCTTGATGTGTCCCATATATCTAAGTTTTACCAATTTCATCTGGAAAGGCAAAGCATTTGGATAGGGTTCACGCCATTATTAAAACACACTATTAGGCTGTCTTACACAAGTGGAACCCAACAGATGCAAATGACACCAGCAGAACCTGATAGTGCCCGTTTACCAGTCTACCACTTGGAAGAAACCTGTATTTCATTAGGGTGTGACTTTTAATGATACTTAAGTGGACTCTAAAAATCAGCAGACACTTCCTTTACATTAATACAAGCATTTTAAAGAGCCTGTAAATGCTGCCAAAGCAGGCAAAGGAAAGCTCTGCAGTGCGGTACGCCCAGTAGATGCAAGTCAAGAACTGCCTTCAGCTTTCCAGTACGTATACACAGCATAACCCCACCAGGAAGAGTGCTGCTGCACGACACTGATAGCCAGCTGTGCCTGCACCACTGTCATTCTCCAAACAATCTCAAACCTCTCACTCCCTTCAGATCCAACTTTACCAAACGATCTGACGAGCATCCAATGGAATTAATTTCAAGCAGATAAACTTTCAATCCATGGGAAATGGACATCACCTTTTTTGAGGACATCTCCTTCAAGAGGCCCAAAGAACAGCTCAAGATTAAGTGGACTATACTCTTCCTTCCCCAAGAGGGTACCACCACTAAGAAATCTCCACTGAGAAGACAGCAAAAGGCAAGCTTAAATCTGGAAAGAGCCACGTAGCAGTGCCATACAGGTGACCATGCAGAACCTCAGCGTGGCAAGTGTGCCTCATTGTGCTGCCTCTTGGGAAAACAACGTACTTCTTGAAGGTTTCCAGCACACATAAGGAACATACCTCATGGATACCTGTGGTCCTGATGCAAACCTAAGCTAACAGCAAGGTACTGCATCCACATGCAGAGGCTCTATTAGCTCACCACTGTCCCAGAGGGGCCTCAAAAACTCCAGTGGATGGTTCCTGTAATGAAGCCCAACTGCATGCAGGGACCCACACTCTGTGTGCTTCACCTTGCACACACAGCATTGGTCTGGCTACAAATTCCAGTCACCTCTGCAAAAATCATACACAAGTCAATGGCTGAGTTCTGAACAGGATCCAGGAACTCCCCATCTCTAACAGCCTCATCTGCACAATGTTTCAACATCTGCTGCACTGCAACGTGACCACAGACTTGAGATGTTTCAGCCCATTGGATAAGCTCATGTGTATCAAATACATAAATAATCCCACAAAACCAAAAGTATTGCATGTATATTTGATGTTATACGTGTGCTCTAGCACCATCTTCAATCAGACTGTGAAACGTGTATCAACATATTTAGGACTGAGGTGAGTGGGAGTCTATTTAATGAAATGAATCAATGAAAAAAAGCGTCAAAGAAAGGCACTGCAGCAACACAATAAGAAAGCATAAAATACTGTTAGCTACTATGTTACAAAGTAATAAATATAATGGAATAATGGTATAAAGATGACAGCTCCAAAGCTATCTCCATCTCAGCCAATATTCCCATTTTCAAGATCCAATGAAGACACAGTTTCTGTAACTGAGTGCTAAAGGCACAAGCGTTAGATCCTCCTGCTCCCACAACAGCCTGAAAGAACAGGCTTGGACCACCAACTGTGGGGTGCAGAAGATGGGTGGAAAGCACACATCTGATAGATCTGTCAGAGCTCTCTCCCACTCCCAAAGAACACATACTGACTGTTCACAGGGAACAGAGCAACAAGGCAACAAATCACACTTTCAAAAGAATTCAAGGCTCCCATAATATACCTGAAAGCAGGCAACCCAAGAGTGAGGATTTTACACACTGCAATTTCCCTTCAGATGCTCAAAGACTGTTTCAAATCAGACCACATAATGTGATGATCAGCTTAAGCATATGTGATGGTCCTATCCATCATTCTTTGTTTCCTCCTAAAAAACAATGTTCTTCTGCAGAGCAATAGCAGAACAATTACTGGGAGGCACTTTACACTTTAAAGCAACAAACAGAAAAGCACAATTAATACAGAGGCCATAAAATAGATCAGACACGAGAAGAACATCAAATTTGGAAAAACAATCACAATGAACATGCAATATTACTTATGAATCAGAACAGCATATGCACTCAGATGCTTTGAATTCATTTCAATATACTTGAAGAATGAATGAGATACTTCTCTGTTAACAACATTCTCAATAGAAAAGTAATTTAAATTTAAAATACAATCGCTAAAGCAATAGTAAAAAAATTAATTGACAACAATAGGACTATTTCAATCCATTTAAACCTGCTACTAAATTCTTTGGAGATACAAAATAATTTAGTAACAGTATTATTTAAAGTGGTCTCCCTCTATGTAAGCTTCAAACTTATGAAAACATTTCGCTTTAAAAAATGAAACCAATATTCACATGTTCAGACAGTATACTGAATACCTTTTCACTTCAATTCAGATAGAAAAAAAAGCTTATATATAATGAAGCTTACTCACCCAACTTAAAAAAAATGAGTCTGCTGATAAATTTGAAAATATAAACTATTACAGAATATTTACATAACAGTCACTGAGACAAGACTATTGGAAGCAGAACAGTTAAAGCATAAGTCTAAAACACCGTCTAAGAAAGTAGCTCCAAGATATTAAGGATGAGAGAAGCAAACCATTTAACCTACAAAATTTCCAAAATAATCCAGGAAGGTGCTCTTTGCCCTTGATTCTACCTGACTGTAAAGATTGCTCAACTCATTTTAGGACTTAGCCGTTAATGCCAAATGAGGTGTTTTTGCTGTGATGGTTATTCACGACAACTATTTTTGCTGCCTCATCTAATAACATCATTCCTGTTGAATTTCAAACAGAAGACATCTCATGTCATCTTTAGGCCTACTTTGAAGCTATAGCTCAATCTGGAAAATTAAAATTACTCCTCTACAAACCCCAATCACATTAACTTGCCAGCTGAAAAACTCAGAAGACCACCAAGTAAGACATCAACACTTAGCTTCCTAGTCAACAGGAGAGCCCCTCCTTCGAGCACGCCGGTCAGCATGTCACTGCAGTGACTATTCTTACCTAGTCCTATTCTGTTGGGACTTGTCTCTCGACTGCATCCCTGGCTCCGAGGGATCTTGGTGCGCTTCTCTGAAGATGATGGCACTGGCTGGACTCTGGATGTTCCACCGCTCAGGCCACCATAGGCGCTTCCTAACAGCTTACCCGGAGAACTAGAGCGGCTACCAGCTAGAAGAGAACCAGAAATAAGGAAAGAAAACAATTAAAAACTCACAAGATTTTAAATGCTTTTACAGCAAAACTGGAACACAATCAACTCTAAGAATTTGATCCAAAGGACTCAGAAAACTAATGTAAGTGTTCTCCATGGGCTTTTGAGGAAGACTGAGGAAAGCCCATGCACAATAAACACTGACATTGTGAACCCTGCCTGCATGGATTGTGCTGCCCAGCTGGGATCAAGACCAAAGCAGACACTGTGGTGTGTGAATGCCCCAGCTGGCTTTACTCCAGTTTGCAGAGGTGCCAGGAGCAGCCTTGCTGCAGCAACATGGAATTCACAGGCTGCTTCACCTCCTCAAAGCAACACAAATTAGCCTGTGCTGCAGCAAGCCAGCTTCTGGCACAGGATGCCTGATGCGAGATGGCTCAGGCATCTTCACGCTACACTGCAGTGGTGGCATTGCTTTCCTGCAATAATTCAGTGAAGGAAATTTTTTTTTTAAAATACCATCTCAACAGCAGCAGATCAGCACAATAAAGGGTAAATTGAGTAAGCCTGTCATATCTTTAGAGATGCTGGCTTACTTGGGTTTGACTGATTAAAGATAAACTATTTAGTTATTTTTCAGCTAGAGAAAATTTTTAGCCAGTTAAGTACTTGGCTTATTTTATTTTTCCTGGTCTGTTTGGATAGTCCATGGCAAGTTTACATTTCTTCTAAGCCATGTTGTCTGCGAGACAGTCTACTAACCAAGATTTATTTACATTCCAGTGGCAGTAGATATTTCTATCTGAAATAGCCTTGCTAACTCAATGAGCTGAATGATACTTTCTTCTGTGGATCTTAATTTGCTAAGTTGTCTGAAAATTAAGTAATGCTAGCTTAAAGGTAACCACAGAGAACCATGAAAGTAACAGATTCAAGACTCTTTTTTGCTTCTTCAGGTATATATAAGTCCCTGAAAATATTCTGCTGATATTACCATTCCTGACATTCAATTTGTGTATTACAATAGCGAAGAAAACTATATTTGATAAGGTTACAAGAACATACTCGGATAAGCTCACATTCAGAACCAATAATCATGTTGGTTTCTTTCTGAAAAGTATCTACACATCTCACAGAAATTTAAGTCCCAAATATTATTGCAACCAGCAAGAGTTAAAAACTGTTCTTCTGTGTTGATTTAAGAAGATATGCACTTCTATTAATCTGATGGACAATACCATAAACACGTGTAGTTTTAACTTACTTCCCCCTCCAATTTCTTGGCCAAAACCATTTTGAAACAATCAAATTATATACTCCCACGTTGTTCGTGGTGCTGGCTCTCCCTTCACCACCCCAAAGTGAGAATACGTGTGACGGATGCCAGTCTCAGACCCAGCACCCATGCCCTGAGAGCCAATACTCCTCTCAGTTACACTGCCACAACCTTGCCTGTGCCAGCAGGGTTGCGCTGAAGCAACTGGAAGAAGAATTTAGCCCCTGGGGTTTAAGTGGCAGCAATGAGCCAGCTTCAATATGCAGAATGTATGCTTACCACATCTGATCACTATGAGAAAGCAAAATCACTTGCCATCCACATTTGGATTTATGACTTTAAGAAAATGCTTTTGAAGTCTCATAGTTAGGAGAGAGTGAGGGAAGCTAAAAGCTCAGCAGTTAAAAAATGTGACGGAAATAACGTGAGAAAGCAAGAAAGGGAAAACATGTCTTACCACCAGCAGGATTAGCTGATCTGGATCCTTGATTATGAAGGCAGACCAAAGGACAGGCAAAAAGTGGATTAAAAGACAGCAAGACAATACAGCGTTCAGCATGCGGTTTATGCTATACACAATACAGACAGATTTATTCACAAACATGTCACTCTGAAAGCCTCTGCAGAATGCAGTGAGTTAACGAGCGGATGTGACTAACAATTTCTTAAGGTTGATCAGCTTCTTTACTAAATGTCAACAAACACTCTAAGAACCCAAGTTCTGCTCTAAATTATACCCCAGCCCAGCCTGCAAAATTGCAACAGGGTTATCCACTGTGTGGGTGGGCATGGAGAATTTGGTCCTGTGACCATATTATATTTGAATTCATAACGTATTTCATGCAATGTTTGGCTTAAAGGATAAAGATCACACCCAGTTGGGCTAAGCTGGAATCAGGATTCAGCAAACTAGACCAAGGGAGCAGGCTCAGATGTGATCATCCTCAAGCTTTGTAAGACCATTTTTGTAAAAATGAAGTCCATAATCTTTGAAACCTTTGGATACTCAACTACCCTGTAAACACTTCTGAGACTTGTCCCATCTGATCATTTTTCACTGAACCAAGTTCAGGAAAAAAGGTGATTTCTGGGTTTGGATCAGTTTTAGGTTCAAAACCAAAGAAATCAATTTAGATCAGCAAACCAAAGCCCAAATTCCTTCATGACCTCAATGTAAAGATTTCTATTTGGCCCCACCCTGAATATAATACTTCTCTCTTCAGCTCTCCCAAGCCTAACACAATGCTATAAACTGCTTCCCCATCCCTCCAGCATGACAGAGCAAAGCAACGAGAGCATGAACAGAGAAGAGCTTTTAAATAGGGGTACAAAGCATGACAAGTCCTCAGAACATAGAGGTCTTTCCACAATCCCCACCTCCTCTTACCCACAACCTTGAAGGTCCTCAAAATATGAGTGGCTTTCTCCCTCCCCCCAATTCATTTTAAAGTTTGAGTGGCAAAATTTTCTTTAGATACACATGCAGCAGCTCCTAGGGGAAAACCCTGCCTTGCCAGGAAGCCAGGGCATGCATGTGTCATGTGAATCAGAGAGCACAATCATCTCCCCAGTATCTACACAAAATAAGGCAATGTTCTATTTCAAATTGATGCCAAATAACATTAACTTTAGACAGGTTACACATTACACATACATAAATACAGTCACATAAGGAGGAGAAGCTTTGCAGGGCAAGACCCCAGGACAGCAGTCAGCTACAGTGACAGAAGGTGCCTCAGTAGGACCCAGGGCAAGCTACTCAGTCCTACACATCACAGCAACATGAAATTCTGCTGCACAACTGGTAAAAAAAGGCAGCAGCTAAGCACTCAGCAAGAGTACACAGTGGCCAAGTGGGGATTCGTTTTGTTATGTGTCCAAATGTTATTAGCAGAAGTGAGCCCAATCCTCAGCTGATGCTACTACAGGTCAAGAGAAACGTATTAATAACTATTTGTCCTGCTCCCCCAGAAATAAAACACTTCTTACGCTGGGACTGGGAAACTACTTTAGCCCGGCTGCGGCCTCGGGTATCAGCAGGCATCGAGGTGACGCTTGTGGCACTGCCAGAGCTCTGTCTCCTTGTACGAATCCGACCTGGAGGAATGCAAAGACAATCAGACTGTCAATAGGTTTCTTCCAAAGGCAGCAGCAGTGCCTACCACGCTGCTCTATGCTTGCAGGGTTGCTATACACACAATTAACCAGGGGACAAAACAAAAATTTTACAGGGAGAGGCAACATCTGTCATTAGACTGGCTGAGACACGGGGCAGGGAGTGGAAACAGTCACAAGTTCACAAGTGCGAAAACTTCTCTGCTTTCTGTAATGCTATCAGCCAGTAGAATTAAAAAAAAATATTACCTCTCTACAGCTTTTGCTTCTGTTCTATAGTAGCTTCTTTACAAAGGATCGACAACAAAAATTTCAGTCCCCTAAATGCTGCTTCCTATATCAAATTACTACTTTCTGACAAGGCGATCACTCTTTTGGAGACGGGTGTGACAGATGCCCCCACGAATTCCACCACTGGGATTTCCAGTTAGCAGTGCGGTGCTTTATACCCCACTCTAGATGTGCAGGCTGGCACCCACTCCTGCAAGAGTCTGTCAACGCAGCCTGACTAGGCTTTTATTTCAGGCTTATTGAGGTTTCCCTGCTGTTTACAGATGCCTCATATTTATCCCGAGATCAGTGTAACTTTACTTGTAATGTAGAGTCCCATTTAACACAATCAACGTTCTGGAAAAAGGATTCTGTGTGTCTCTAGTTAAGTGGAGATCAGATATAAAGTCTCAAAGTGTTCTTGGTCCTTCTTCTGTCCTTTCCTCATGAAAAAGCCACAGAAATTTGAGCTAGAAAAGCTTACAGGGTCATCAGTTCATCCCCTTCTTGGGCAGGACTGTTTCCTACAGAATGTTCTTTCCAGTGCTAAGCTCCAATTATCTGTCTCTAGTTAATGGGAAAGAAATGATAATTAAGAGCAACACAAAGAAAGCCTACATTAGCACTTTTCAACAACTCAGTTCTCAGCCAAATCCGAAGCTGTTTCTCAGGACTAATGCCAGTGCTACCCTGCATTCAGAGGATGACTTCAAGTTTCAGGCACAATAATAAAAGAAAAAAAAACCACAAGAGGTAAGAGAAGAGTCTAGACAACTGCACCCACCCATAGATTTTCATCTCCTGCCCTTTGTCACCACCATATGCATACAGAGAAATATGAACAAGGAGATACACACTTCCCACTCCCCCCCCAAAATGTCACTTCACAGAAGATACACATGCAGGACAAGACAATGGTAAGCAGCCCAGGCTGAATGGATTGAGAGCTCTGTTCTTCTCCAAGCTCTCAAAATATTCATACCATGGTCTGCAAGTTTCTGATAGACACAAAGTGATAAGGAGATGTTTGACTTGGAGAAGAAAGCCTAGACTTGTTTGCAAGGGAAAAAGCCTTGGAGACAGCGGTACCTCAGACCTCTCCACCAGCATCTAGTGTTAAAATAGCTCAGTAAGCAAGATAGAGATCTTTGTTCAAACACTTGTTTGTAGACAAGACATAGAAGAAATAACTAGCATAAAACTGGGAAAATACAAACGAACCACTTTTTAACAACTGGCCCAACTAAACAAGCTGTGAGCACATCCACATCTGTCCAGGCACGAAACTGGCTGATAAGGTCCTCTTACCACCAGCAAGGCTGCAGATCTCCTCTGCTCCAGGACATTATCTGTCCCTGACAAATGGTGAGCCTGATGCACAACCCAGAGAGAGCTATAACTAGCATAAAACTGGGAAAATACAAACAAACCACTTTTTAACAACTGGCTCAACTAAACAAGCTGTGAGCACGTCCGCATCTGTCCAGGCTTGAAACTGGCTGATAAGGTCCTCTTACCACCAGCAAGGCTGCAGATCTCCTCTGCTCCAGGACATTATCTGTCCCTGACAAATGGTGAGCCTGATGCACAACCCAGAGAGAGCTCCATAGCTCTTTGCTGGCTTCCTTCCTTCCTTCCCTTCCCTCACAAGTTTGGCACACACGTAGCGACACACAGATGAGTGGAGCCACTGTGTGACTTAGCGCAAGGTGGGTGCTCCCAAACCCCACTGCAGGCGTGTGTGGGGAATGAGGCAGAAGAAACTCACACTCTTGTCAGAAGCCTTAAAACTGAAACTAAACTAAACTGAACTAAAGGGTCAAACTTAACTAACGTATGATTATGAGCAGGATTAGAAATAGAGAGCTTGTCCCCTGTTTTGAAAGCCCCGAGAGCCAGTGGACAGACTCCTACCAACTTCAGTAGTTTCTGAATGAATGAAAGCCCAGGAGCAAGATTCTGCTTCCTTTTGGTCTGGTAGATTTGCAAACTGATTTTGTCCTCACAGGTGTCAGAGAGAGCAACATGAGATGAAGAGCTGCCCTTGCACAGCAGAAACAGAGTCCCAACACTGATACAGGTCTTCCCATCGTTCCAAAAAGGCTGACAAGCGATTGAACTAACACTGCGCTGGACTTGCATTGTGCACTTTGCAAAGCAGAAACAGAGTCCCAACACTGATACATCGTTCCAAAAAGGCTGACAAGCGATTGAACTAATGCTGCGCTGGACTTGCATTGTGCAAAGAACAGGAATAGCAGAAACTAGAAGTATATGACACAAAAGTGATGCTATGATACAGCACAATAACAGTTCACCCTGGGAGTACTTTATTATTTGACGTTCCAAAAAGGCTGACAAGCGATTGAACTAATGCTGCGCTGGACTTGCATTGTGCAAAGAACAGGAATAGCAGAAACTAGAAGTATATGACACAAAAGTGATGCTATGATACAGCACAACAAAGAACAGGAATAGCAGAAACTAGAAGTACATGACACAAAAGTGATGTTATGATACAAATACTGGACAGCACACCGTATGATTATGAGCAGGATTAGAAATAGAGAGCTTGTCCCCTGTTTTGAAAGCCCCGAGAGCCAGTGGACAGACTCCTACCAACTTCAGTAGTTTCTGAATGAATGAAAGCCCAGGAGCAAGATTCTGCTTCCTTTTGGTCTGGTAGATTTGCAAACTGATTTTGTCCTCACAGGTGTCAGAGAGAGCAACATGAGATGAAGAGCTGCCCTTGCACAGCAGAAACAGAGTCCCAACACTGATACATCGTTCCAAAAAGGCTGACAAGCGATTGAACTAATGCTGCGCTGGACTTGCATTGTGCAAAGAACAGGAATAGCAGAAACTAGAAGTATATGACACAAAAGTGATGCTATGATACAGCACAATAACAGTTCACCCTGGGAGTACTTTATTATTTGAAGTTCATGGGATGAAGTAAAACATAAGGGCAAAAAAACCCCTCTCAAATTGAAGATCAAATTCTTCACACAGTTACAACAAAAAAAGTGCCATCTGATGTCAGTTATATATGTGTTCCCTGACGTATTAATCGTTCATATACTTTCCAAAGTTTTAGAAGTTCATGGGATGAAGTAAAACATAAGGGAAAAAAAAAAAACCTCTCAAATTGAAGGTCAAATTCTTCACACAGTTACAAGGAAAAAGTGCCATCTAATGTCAGTTATATGTGTTCCCTGACGTATGAATTGTTAATATACTTTCCAAAGTTTTGTTTTCTGAGCTTTAAAAACTATGTATTTGTTATTTCATACAAGTAACTAATCTTACTAGTGGCATTTTTCTGAGCTTTAAAAACTATGTATTTGTTTTTTCATACAGGTAACTAATCTTACTTGCGGCATAAAAATGGTTCAAAAATAAGTGACTCAAAGCTACTCTTCAAGAAAAAATTTAAGACTCTAAGTTGTTCCTATTCAAATAGAGTTTTTAGCTGTAAAACAAAAAATTATTAATTTGAACTCAAAATTGCTTTAGGTAAATCTGTATGGGATAAAAAAAATGGGAGAGGGATCTGGAGTGTTTCATATGTTAATTGATCTTCACACACATGCAGAACTTTTAAATTAGTTTTATGATATCCAAAACCTATTTGCTTTATAGTAATGTAAGATGAATCAACATTTGTCTGACTTGAAAATCTCAAAATTTTTAATATATATTATACCACGTACAGCATGTATAAGTTCATCTATACAATACAAACATCTCTGCTCCATTTCCTTAAGGATTTCATCTGCAAGTCATTTGCACACAGGACTATTTGTGTGGCTTCTACCCCAGACAGAAAAAATAATTTCAAGAAAGACTAAGTAACATATCAAATAAGTTATTCAGACTTTGTTGTTGTTGTTAAACTCTAGCAAACACTTCCCCTCCCAAAACCTCTTTGCTGTCAAGTGGGTTCGTTTCCATATCTAGTTCAAACTGCAGATGTAGCAATTCGTATTTCATAACCATTATTTTTCTGCTCCTCTTAAAATAATTACTGCATCCTGACAAGAGCAGCACAGCAAAGGAAAATATAAAGATTGCCCCAACTAGTTTCCAAAAACCATAAAATCTTTCCAGAAAAAAGTCCTTGATCTAAATTTGACATGTGACACGTCACTGTTGGTACAGAAAATGTTTTGAAAGACTCAGTAGAAAAGCTTTGTGTTAAGAAACCATTTGTGGGGGGTTTGGTTTTATTTTTTAAAGTTATTGTCAATTTTTACAACAATCAATGGATCAGAATCAACCTTTAAATGTCTAACATATGTCTAAAACTAGAAAAGTGGTGGCGTTTTCTTTTTAAAAGGAACAAGAAAAGGAAGATTCTATGATAGTGTTTTTGCGTTACAAGAGGCTTCACCCAGCAGTGTGGTTCTGAGCTCCTCTGGGAGGACACTGCAGAGCCTCCATCCCCAGCACCCAGAACAGACCCAGCCTTTGAGAGCCCCAGTCTGTATGTTACACTGAAGAAAATGGCTTTCAAGTAGTCTAGAAATGGTCTATAAGAGCTCCACAGCTGAGTCTAACCAGATCCGTGCTAAGAATAATGATACCTACACAACCACATAAATTACATATGGAAGTACTGGGATGGTAATGGTCTCTCGTCTCTCTATGGATCAAGTTAATGCATTTAGATTACTCAGCACTGGGTTTTATCCCCTGCTTGGAGGAAAACATTCCTGAAAGAGCCTCTAGGACTCCCCCCTTATCTGTTTGAAGGCTACATGATATGTGGACATCTGTGAGACGTGCACACATCGATTGAAAACATGCTTTACGTATAAATCTGTAAACAACTTTTTACAATAAGCACAGTATGGTTTCCATGCATATTTAGCAGATGTCCAACCTTATACTAGTGTAAGACCTGGTTCTGCACCATAATTTCCCCTGGGAATCACTTGACCCTTAGTGGAAACCATCAGTATAGGTTGCCTCTCGGTTTTGCATAAGAATTCCCTCCAAGGCAGAGGGTTGAGGGAACAATAGTGGCACCACTTTGCTCTACACCAACAAGCACAGGCAAATCAAGTCAGCACTTGCAAAGGGATGGACCAAGAGAACAAAGAAACCTACCACCTTAGCATTTCCATTTAAGATATCACATTCAGTCAAACTTGAATTGTTCCTTGTTCTTGAGGTCAAGGAAAAGCTTTAAGGCAGAGAAAGAAAACAGCAATGGTGATTTCATAAACCTTGTGTCACTCCCAAAGCCTGTGCTAAGGCTCAAGATGTCCAAATGAACTTAGGGTCAAAATAAAAAAAGCAGTCTGTTATCTGAAAACTGTAATATACCAGATGCTCCCAAAGCCTGTGCTAAGGCTCAAGATGTTCAAATGAACTTAGGCTCAAAAAAAAAAAGCAGTCTGCTATCTGAAAACTATAATATACCAGATTTTATTTCCTTTCTGGTAAATAATAAAAACTATTGAAAATTGTGCCACTGACTCTGGAAACTGCTGATTTTGATTTAAACTTGCCATTTTTGGGACAATCCAGCATTTATGCTTTCCTCCTTTTGGGAAACACTTGTCTGAAGGGTTTCTCTTTATGCTTATTTTGAAAACAGTCAACTGCATAACAGAAATGCTCCAAACCATTCTTCTGTACTGAAAAGTCAGCATTATGCACCTTTTTAAAATACTTTTTGAAAAGTTGGGCATAGCACTAGCTGTGAAGTCCTGATCAAGACTATAGATATAAGCACTAGCTGTGAAGTCCTGATCAAGACTACTAAGGTTTAGATCTTACAAGCTTTCTCCCTGCCAAGCTCTTAATGAAGTTCAAGAGATAGCCGTATATGAAGGGTCTGGGTAATCAAGATGTAGCTGTGCACTACAAGAAGACACAGCCTCACAGCACGCAGAAGACCTGCACAGATTTAAGTGGTATACAGACATATGCTGCCTTTCCATAAGGAAGTGCATTTTAACGGCATTTGTCAATTAGGATGACACTACTTGAAACCAAAGGACTGATACTTGGCTCTTAACTTGTCTTGCCACTGGCGTAACCCACTCTATCTTGCTCCTGTTTTGAGATGTCTGGCTCAAACACAAAACACTGAGGAGAACTGAGGGCAAAGCAGATGGGAACTGCCAAGTTCACACAATGCTGGCTCCCAGCTGAGGGGAAGGTGCAGAACTGTAGCTACAGAAAGCCATGATGGGAACCAGACTGCAGATTTAACATCAAGCTGAACCACACAAAAAAACACTGGGATTTGTTCTTAAATTACTTACTGGTGACCTGCAAAAAATCCAGGGGCACAAGCATGGATGGAATTTCTGCTTTATGTTCAAAGAGTCTCTCTTGCACACAGGTATTTCCAGAGCAAGGGGATGTTTTTTCTCTTGCCCCATTGCTTTATGTTCAAAGAGTCTCTCTTGCACATCCAGAGCAAGGGAATGATTTTTCTCTTGCTCCACCACCTTAATTTTTACATTTGTGTCAAGAATATAAAGTTTTGCCTTCCCAGTAGTTCCTGGCAAACTCTGCAAGATCAGAGAGTTGGCAGAAGACCTTTCTCAGCCCTCATCTGTAGGACACACCAAATCCTGAACAAAGGCTGTTTTTCCCTTAACTATCTCAACAAAGGCAAATAAAGATGAAGAGTTTCAAACAGTGATTAAACTCATCCTTGAGGTGCTCTGGCTGTAGCATGCCATGTTACTATAATGCTCCCTCATCCTCACTCCCCTTGAAAAAAGAGAATCTCTACAGCAAAAGGAAGAGATGAAATCTGGTATTTACCACGAGGGGGATGGCAAACTCCATTTCTGAAAGTTCATCTCAATCTTTCCCCTCAAGCAACTTGCTGGTTTCTATTACAGATTTTTACCAAATGAAATCTGCTTCCAATGTAGCTGAATTGAAAAAAACAAACTAATAAAACAACCCCCTCACCACCCTTTCGCATGATGACAACAAATCATTTAATAAAGAAAAAATAAAGGTATTCCAGAGGACAGCTGTTAGAACAGGCCTCCACAAATATTACTACAGCCCAAGGATGGGACTGAGACCTGCACTTTAATAAAGAAAAAATAAAGGTATTCCAGAAGATGTTAGAACAGGCCTCCACAAATATTACAAGGAGTGGACTGAGACCTGCATAGGATATTTCATAAATTAACATTTAAACTTTCAACATTTCAAAGTTAGTCCAAAAATAGAAAGGTTTGAGAACTTGGGGGGAAAGAAGAAGAGAAAAAGAAGGGTCAGCTATGAATAAAAAAATGCTCAGGATTACAACAATCTGGAACTTCCACCTTATTTGCCATTGATTTAGAAATATGGGTGGTTTAGGCCAACTTCATATTCCTTATCACTGACAGATCACAAAAGGACAAACTCTTGCCCATGATACAGAGCCAGTTCACCTCCAACACTAAGATTAAGTGCCAGTTTCAAAAACAGTAGAGACCCTTCCTTCTAAATAAATCAATGCATCAATAATAGTAAGGAAAAACCACACACGTCACACAGCACAGTGGCACTTCTGAGAACAGCACATCCAAATACAAGCAGACATCAGGGAGACAAGCAGAGTCCCACAAGACAGTAATAGATCCCTTGAAAAGAGACTTGCATCAGGAAAAAATGGGTTTGTTGGGGGGTGTGGCGTCTTCATTATGTGTAGAAGGCAATCTTGTTTTCAACTCCTGTCTACCTCAGAAAAAGTGATTTCCCAGTGATCTTTTTTGCCTGAGAGAAATAAAGAACAAGCTTTGACAACAAGCCAGAGAACCAGACTGGGAGCCCTCCCAAACTAGCTGGCTCAGTCTTCTTGAAAAAAAAGCCTTTCCTCCAACTGTCTTAGATGTAAGCCATCTCGCTCAGACAGTTCACAACAAAAAGAGAGCGCTCAGGTTGAAAGAGGTTGGCTAAATATTCCTTCCCTAGAGATCATTGTTTACTGTCCTCATTTTTCTGCCATGTGATCATCTCGTTCAATTCTCTCGCTGCCCAGTCTCTTCCCGAAAGCATTTGGCAGTTGTGACCTGAGCTTTGGATGGAAAATCACAGCAAACCTTTACACATCGTGGAGCAAGAAAACACAGCCCTGTGTCAGTTTTTTGGTTTTGGGTTTTTTTTTTTCATCTGTGCACAGGTCACCTTCAACCAAAAGCAGTGCTTTAAATATGGAGACCCACACACAGCTTTGCGATCAGAAGTCATAAAATCAGACTGGTGCCTATTAGTGGGGAGGAGCTTGAAGAGAAAGTAAAGAATACCCCATGGCATCAAAATGAGCAGGACAACCATGCAACACTTCATGCAGGTCACCAGTGAACATGGATGAGAACCAGATAACACTTTGAGAACAGAGACCAGGGAGGGTGGTACGACTGTGGACACACCTCAGTTACACAGAGAGACTGCTTACCCTCGGTTTTACTGGCAGTACCATCTTTAGGCAATTTAAAAAAAATAAGGAAAGGGTTAATAGGGAAAATTAGTAACATCAATAGAAGCGGGCACTATATATTAGCTACAGAAATATGCAAAAAAATTAACAATTAAATAAAGGAAAAAAAGTTTGACTGAGCAGCAAATCAAAGCTCAATGCACCTGAAGAACACGCTTGCAGGTTTTCCCTCCTGCAATAACCAACCTTTGCCAAATTCCATTTTTGTTGTTTGCCTCACTATTTCTCCCATAGGAATGCGTTGGTGACAAGTGTCCCTAGTAGTTTGAAAGGAAGAAGGGTCCTTTAGGAGCAGCCATGTTTGCATCACTTAGAGTGCATTTGCTGCTTTTTTCTGTTATAAGAGCAAGCTTTAACACTGTATTCAGTCTCCCAGCTTCAAGGACAAAGCCAACATTAGTAGATACTTTCCCTGCCTCTTCTGTTCTTCCTTATGACATAGGAGTGTTCAAAAGCAGTTTTGCCACTGAAGCCAGTGTGCAGCATGATTGAAAAACGGTTGCATCCAGAAGCTCGAAAGCACACTTTTATGTGATCAACTTCATACTCTGTGTTATGTTTCCTCTGCAACGTATCTAAGTCTTGAACCAAGTAGGAACAATTCAAATCAGAGCAAGAATTCAACTTCCGAACCAAATACAACCAACACATTTAAGCCAAGGTAAAATATTTCAGATACGAAAGAAACCTATCTACAGAAGGGATCTATAGAAACCATGCCTATATAATTCACCAAGCCTATTTTATCAGGCTAAAGACCGTTTTCCTCACAGTAAGAAGTAACTTTTCAACTCAGTGAAGACAATCCCTACAGCTTAAATCAAGATCACCGATTTCTGATTTTTCTTTCTCTTGTAAAGATAAATTGATGAAAAGTCTAGAATTAGATCAGCATGTAAACAGGTGAAAGAGAAACTAGATCAGATGATCAGCTCTGCTCACAACTGAGTTGAAGCTCTGCAAATAGTGTCATTCACTGCGTTGCATTTCCTCCTCCATGCCTCCTTCAACCGCATCTCCAGAGAGAAAGATCAAATGCAAACTTTGTTGTAAGAAACCCTGGGCACCTGAAAGTGATATATGATGATTTGAGAGAAAAATGTCACATGTGGCTATAATCCAAGAAGAGTCAGCATAAGGAACAGATACTTGTATCCTGTGTGGTGAGATAGGAAGGCCGACTTCTCTTTGCTTCTACATCTTTCTCTTTGGCAAAACAGAAAGCGATCAAACTCAACTAAGATGTACTATTCAAAGCATAAAACAATTAATGAAAAACCAGTTTCAGGAAAGGAGGGAAGGAAGAGAAGGGAAAGAGACAGGAGTAATTGTCAGAAGGAATTGAGCAGTACTTCCCCCAATAACATCCCAGAATCAGAATAAGATCTGCTTTTCCCCAGAAAGAAGAGTGAGACGCAAAGTATTAAGCAATTCAAAACCTAAGAAGTTGCTTCAGGTCAGTTCTGTCGCAAATTTTTTCCTTAATCCCAAAGAGCAAGAGATTCCACACTGATCCTAGAGAGCTGGCAACGATCTCAGATATATGTTCTTCTACTTAGAGTTTAATATTTAAATAAAACTACGAGGCACCTTCTGCTAGTAAAGAAAGCTAACTGCAGGAGTAGAAGAACATGTAGATTTACCTAGTGATGCGTATGAGCCTGGGGGCAAGGCTGCAGCAGAACTGAAGGGGATGGATGCTCCAGAAGACGTCACTTTTGACTTGGCACTAGCTGCTGCATTCACATCGACGTCACTGCGGGATCGCTGCAGAGATCCTGGTGTTGACACAGATTTTGTACTTACTGTAGATGCTGCAGATGGGAGTGGGAGATCCAGAATAAAGAAGATTAATTTTTTTGAGCTGTGTGCTTCAAAGAGCTTGACAAGCAGTTTAATGTTCTATTTTTAACACTCCCTGCTGGCACTGAAATACCTCAACTAAGAATGCTTTATCAGGGCAATGTGGGCTTCCCCACACTGCCTGCAAAGATATTTCAAAGCTGACCTGATGCTACCTTTAAGAACTTTATCACACGCTAATGTATATGCTGAGATCAAAAAGGCTGCCAGGCCAGTAACAAAGAAATTCCAAATGGAACTAGATGGGAAGGTTCAATCACAGTACCCATCACCAGCCTGTGAGTTGCTGGCCAAAACAGACCTGCAGGTCCTTCGGTCCAGGTTCTACTAACTTCCTTCCCAAAACCTCATCTTCTCATGAGGACTGCTGTTCCCATCACTTGTTGATGCTTACCCTCTTAGGCATGGAGCTTTTCTAATCAGCTGCAAGCAAACATGCATTTGTGTGCACAATCAAGTAGGTTCCACACCAATATCTCCTTGAATCCAAGGTCTCAGTAGGGTGTAGTGTATACACAAACCAGACAGAACCCGATCTTGGTCAGGTGTAGAAAGCAGCTTATCTTCTACCAAGAAAGTTTCGTCTGTTATATACTGTACTAAAATTTGCTATTTCGATTATTGTATGCATTTACTTAGGACAAGAAAGCTGCACCTAAATATTCCATCTAATAGTAAAAACAGATTAGCAATGAGATGGAACACTGTAGAACTTGTGTGCAGACGATGCCTCCAGTAAGCGTTGAAACCACAGAAAATAGTAAAGCTGAATGCACCATCAGACTACATAGCTGTATGTCTTACCATCAGCAGTAGTTTACTCCAGCTGCTACACAGCTAAACATACCTTGGCTGCAATTTTCAAGGTTTTTTAGGCTGCCCTTCAGGTGCAAGCAATAGCAGATTTACTAACTTTCAAAAGCATCATTTTATCAGCAGTCAACGCACAGAATGTGGTATACAACCCAGAACTAATTAAAAATTTTACACAGCAAGTTGCCATTTTAAGGAGCAGTAAAGAGTGATCAAAGTTGCTCTTTGCATATTACAGTGTCTGAAATTCTCATTCTAATTCATCCCACTTCCTCAGCAACACCTGAGCACATTTTTCAGCTTCTGTTCTCACCTCTAGATGTAGTACTTCCAGTAGGGCTTCTTTTGGCAGACAATGGACGGCTAGAAGTTAATATAAACATTTATTAAAATGAAACTGGTATTTCATAGTCATCAGTAACAGTGCTACTCTGCTCCCTCAGTAGACAATTGAGTTAATAGTAAGTTATTCATATACAGGAATAGACTAAAAAAGGTTATTGTTTAAGAATAAATACAGCACCACCATGAAATTCCTTACAAAACCACTAAGAAAAAAATTAGCAAACACATTACTTGAGCAATGAGAGACTTTTAAAATTCTTTTTGTAGATTTTGAAAGTAACACCAGTAAGTTATATTTTTCATATAGGTCTAACACTTAAATTGCAGACATTCAGATCCCTAGTTGACTGTATCTCTAAGAGAAGGTAGAAAACATACAGTCAAGAGAAGAGTTACATATTGACTTTGCAGTTACTACTCAAGTTTTGTTTAGTCTTTTTTTTCCCTCTTATATGGAAAGAGGCAGACTTACACCTTTAGGATTAATGCTAAACACTGAATTTCAATCCAAGCACTGTTTTAAGCATACCTAGAAGGAATGACTAACAGACTATGCTGAGAGAAAGCTTCCTTGAAAATTATTTATGGAATCAAGACTATGAGTATTTTTCACTTTTTTTTTTGTTTTTTTTTTGGTTTTTTTTTTGTTGTTTTTTTTTTTTTAAATAAAGCCAATAATGGGCTTTGTTGGCCTTTAAATTTAATACAATGTTCACTAAAAAAAAAAAAAAAAATAAAATTTGGAATAATCAGGTGTTGATGCCAAATGGTGACCCGATGAGACAAAGCAATGTGATGTCTCCCTCCAATTCAATGGAGCTATCTGTAGTAGTTTAAACAGAGAGGTGATGACATTGAAGGACTCACTTGAGACTCTCCTGGGAGCTGGAGGAGGAGCGATCTGACTGAGGCAAGGAAACGATGCTGTCAGAGTTCTTCAGATGTGACTGCAGGGCCTTCTGGTAGGAAGACTCCAAGGTGTGGTACAAATGCTCTGCCTCTCTGCTGAAGTGACTGTGGAAACCCCAGTAACACCTGGAAGAAAGGCACAGTACTGTGAACTCTTGTGCTTCAGAGGGCAGTGGAGCATGGGTACAATCAGAGCCCTTTTCACTACTGGCATTAGTGGACTCATTAGCCCAGTCATTTCAACCATCTACTGCCCCTATGACATGCTTAAAACCTAGCACTTTCTTCAACTGATTGTATTGTTCAAACAGCCACAGAGAAGACGAAACAAATGAAAATAAGACAAGAGGAACCCACCATTTGGTGCTCTGTAAAAGCACAGGTAGTTAAAAAAGATTCATTACAGAAGAAACCCCCATCTCTCTGGCTGTCTAACGTGCATGGGAGATGGTAGACCCATTAGACTGATACTAGTTTGGGACTGGATGCTCAATAGCTACTTAAAAAACACGCCAAAAGCAGAACACACACGTGGGCCTGACTCATGAAAGCACCAGCTGGTGGTGTCTTCTTCCTTAAGTTTAACAAACAGCTCTTCTACAATGCTGCAAAGACAAATCTGTACTGAGTTGAGGCTGTTGACTATCTTCTTGGGAAGAAATAACAAGGAAAAGGAAAGAGATGCTCCTATAGACTTCCAATCAGTGCCACGCTGAAAATACAAGAGCATTTGAAAATGAGGGAAGAATTTCTCTCTGGTCCAAATCTCCTGGCTCAAGGCTAAACACCATTCACTCTCATCACAAAGGAGATGAAGACTCTTGGCACTTTTCAGGGGACAACTAATGGCCAGTTTAAGAGTAAGATAGTTAGTTCAAATGAATCAAGAATTGTTTGTGTGACAGCCAGTCCTGAGAGAAGTCACACACATTCTCACGCCACTAGAATGAAACAAATTTTTGCCTTACAATCAGCCACACAGTTAATTAAGATACATGGGAAGAGAGAATTAAGCTTGGTCTCTGAAGTCTCATGCCATTCTCCTTCCTGTCTCTTCAGCTAAACTAGACAAATGCTGTGAAGTCCCAGTGTTTACTGTATTTTTCAGTGATGGACACGTTCTCTTTCAAAACTATTTAAACAGTCCTACTGTGAAACACCTCTGCTTATAACACAGCATTTAGATTAATAAAATTTGTTGTTCATTGATTTAATGATTTACAGCATCCTGTTTCTGAAGAAAAACGTTCCTGTAGTGTTCTCTTCAGAAGAGCATGACCCTAATATATTGGCATACTACCATAAGTATAAACACATTAATGGAAATGCAAGAGATCTTCAACATAAGAAAAATAATTGTAAATATGAGAGTTTCATATAGATACACACAAAGACAGTATTTCAGTGTTATAAATTATTTCCTTAGTTTAGGATACCATTTAAAATTGTATTAGCACAAGGATTTTTGTTTCAAGAGTAGCAAACAACCTACTCTTGCATACAGGCCAAAAAGAAAAGAAAAAATATATTTGAAATAATAGTACTTTTGTACTTAACAGGAGAAATCTCAGTTAACTGCAAGCAACTCAAACATCAAAAATAAAGATTAATTTCCCAGTTCTCAACTCTAGACTCTTGAACAATTCAGGTAAGTATTTTAATTGCTTAGATAAAAAGACAATAAAGTATGACAAGAACAAAGAGAAATAAGCACCATTAGAAGATGTGATACATATGTAACTCAGCCCTATGTAATTACCTCATATGACATCTGAGGTACACACTCCCATTAAAGCCAAGGGAAAGTTGGCATCAGCTCCCAGGAGGATGTATCTGGACTTTAGTCTCCAACATGCATTACCATTGACTCACAACAGGGGCAAAGAAGAAGAAGAAAAGACACCAACAACAGCTTCCACTTACTTTCTTGCCTCTATCCTGGCTTCAGAGTCTGCATCATGGATTCCCTTCTTTATCGTTTCAGCTAACACTGATATGTGTCTGAAATAAGACGAAAACCATTATCTATCAGTCCAGAAAGATGTGCCACACTTATAAACAAATGACTGATTTGATTTTGCTTTGGTCTCCAAGAACAAAGAGTTCACCACATCTTCCCATTTCCATGTAAAATACTTTGGAGCCTTTATTTATTTACTCTTAAAAGTCAGTTTTATTTCACCCACATTGCTGACTAGGAAAAGGCAAACAATGTTCTTCATAAGCCAGTTGTTAGTTAGCTGTTGAAACTGCGTGGCTACAAAACCACTTTATTAACCCTTAAATGGTCTCGTGCAGTCTAGGACTAAGGAAATTGTGTCCCAGTCTCTTTTCTCATTTACTTTCACTGTTAATTAGTCTGAAGCGCTGTAGAAAGCTCAGAAGCTCCTGACAGATGTGTATTCACATTCACATCATCTCACTTTAGGCTGCAAAAGGAATATTGAGTTCAGGGATTCATTCAGCCAGGCTTTCTGGGGCTGGCACAGGAGACACTCTCCAAACTCTGACTGCCAGAACTACAGGGATGAATGGTGTGTGTGCACAGATGTACATGTTTTTTTTTGTGGCAACAGTCTCTCTACTAGAGCTACCTGATACAATCTCACCTCTTGGATTATCCTTTCTCTGGAATTAACCTCATCAGACACAAGTAGGAGAGAATTAACCAACTTGTTTTCAGAGCTTACCTTTCTAGGGAGTGTGTTTGCCACTCCTGTAACAGCAAGTCTAAAAATTCAAAACAGCGCCTGAGAGAAGAAAGACAAGAAATGTTGAGTTCTCAAAGTTCACAAAGGCACATGACTTTGCCATACCCACCTCTGAAGAGTAGCCACCTTTTGTTAAGAATCTTTTTGGGACATTAGAATTCAGTAACAAGCCCAGTTTTGGTGTGCTGAGAGGCCTGTTACAACATCCACATGACACTATCAAAAGAACACCACTTCTGCCGACTGGCTCCAAGAAAACGTGTCACTATAATGGCTAGTAGCAGGGAACAGGAATATGTCTTTAAAGAAGTCAAGACAAAGATTAAAGAACATTTTCCTTTGAGGAAAAGTGCAATGTAATAAAAGTGCATTCTTTAATAAGTGTGGATATCAACCCTTTTCATGAAAAAAAGAATAAATTTAAACGCTCACCTTCTAACTGCAACAGACTTGGAGGTACAATTACTGGTTATGATGGGTATTAATCGAGGGATGTGCGTATGCTAGAAGAAAACAAACAACAAAACCATAACAGTTCCATGGGATGAAAGGCTGCTGCCTTCACCCACCTGAACCCAGTATGTAGATATTTATTTTTGTTCAAATCTTAAAAATAAAACTGCTAAATAAAAGAACGCTGTCAGATATAGACAGATATTTTTATTACTAAAATATTTATCTGTTAAAATATCTTTAACAGATATTTTATTTTCTTCCATAATGACAGGCTCCAGTGAGTCAAAGAGCTCAAGTCACTGCAAGATCTAAACTGTCAGTGGTGACAACTAGAGAGATATCAGGCTATCTATCTACAGCTTCCCCAGTGAATCACTAGGCAGAAGTCACCTCCATGACCTAATGGTTTTAGGAAATGTGCACTGTCTGTGAGGAATTCTAAAGCATTATCAAGAGGCTTAGTCTGTCCTGCAAGGCAGGTTTAAAACCCATTCAAAGAAAAAAGTTTCATAAGCTCTTAGAGGAATGAAAATATATTACTCTGCAAAGAGACGCTTCTCCTACTATTTTGGCAGGGCTTAACTATCATCATCTACACAAGGCTGCATGACATCTGAGAAAACCAAGCCCAGCACAACCAGGAAAGTAGATTAGGCACTTAATCTAATTTTCATTATAGTAACATTCATATTTTTTCAGAAACACCATAGTATTTACAAGTTATAATAATTTGTTCTCTTTTGATGTATACTTACTCTAATTATTAATCTAACTGCTACAACACCAGAAGTGGCCATGACTTTGGCACTATTCGGAATCAGATTAAAAATTGTTGGCATGATGGCTTCTGCCCCATGGTCAAACTTGTTTCCCAGAACTGATGACAAATGTCTGAAAAACAGAATGAAGTCATGCTAGTAAGTGTGCTGAGGATTAAGCCAGTCAGACTTCTACGGAACATATGACATAAGCACATCTGACGTCTCACTCTTCCCAACTCCAACCCCAAGGGACAGAAAAGATGATGTGTCAAAAAATAGTTCATTTACTTCCATTTCAAACTGATGTTCTATGTTCATCTGAACTCTGAGAAACAGTAAGTTCAGCATAAGTAAATAAAGTAACTAACACAGCTAAAAAATTATCAAACAAATGGGACAATGCTGAAAGAATGTATTTTCCTGAACTTGCTAGTTTGCGTTACAGTTTCTCTGAACCTGTCTATTTTGCCTTAATATGCATAAATTGCAAAAAAAAAAAAGCTTAGAAACACTGCAGTGCCCTTTTTCTTGAAGCAGTTCACAAAGAAAAAACCATCAAAAATAAGAACTAGCACAACCCAAACCAGAACAAAACATACGCATTTTCAGCTTTATTGTCCAATCTTCCCTACTTGGTGCATGAATACACAGTTTGCTCATTCATTCAGCATCTCTCAAATCAGCATCGTTTAAAACTCAACAACACAGTTTGGCACAATTACAATTAGCAGCCTACACAGACATAGTTTTAAACAGCTGCAGCAAGATCATGTTCTACCTATAACTATGTAGTACTGCCAGCCCGAATTACATCCTACATGTGTTTTAACTAGAGTCTGTTCCTTTTTTCTACATCACATTTCAAGTGTACTTAGAAAGTAAACTTACCCCAACGTGATACAAGCCTCTCGCACTACTTGAGACCGCAGATCTTTAGCCGATAATTTAAACGCTCCATCCAAAAGTCTTAAGTGTTGGAAGAAGTTATCGTATTCTGCAGCTCCAGCCAGAAGTAAGGAGCGTATCTTTTTCAACTGTTAGCACCATAAAAGAAAGCAGTGACTGTTAATGAGCAATAAACACAAGAACAGTTATGTTCAGGGCTGATACTTGGTTTCCAGGGTCCATGCATTGAAGAACTGTGTTCTTAAAGTCCAAGCAACTCATTATTTCAGATCCTACATTCAACTCATAGGTTAACATACCAAGTATGAGAATGCAATCACTCTAGCTAACTGTTATAGGAATCCAGAAGTGTTGCATACAGCTATTCGAACTGTATTGTTAGTAACCCAAACATTACTTTTTAAGCCAAAGGATATCTTGAAAGTTCTCCTCTATTCCACTTAGAGACCACCTATTTACAACAGCCTCTAAAATGTAGGTCCTCTCACTGTTACATTAAAAAGATGTAACAAAGGGCATGGCTCAATACTCAGATCTGAGTAATACTGACTTTTATCTAGAATATGTCCATTGATTTAACTAAAATACTTATCTGTCTCTATTAGAAGTGGAACCCATCAAATGGGAAACTTTCTATTATTATTACAGGGACCATCATTTCCTCCTATAGACATTCTTCTGGACATCTTCACAGGCCCTCATGTGTACTGATGCACCTGTACAGTGCCTCTATTTAGCCTCACTGTTGGCAAACAAATAAACCCTGAAGTAAGCTGAATCAGCAGAGTTTGCCACTCAGATCCGAAATACGGGATTTAACAGACATGTCAAAGTCACTACACCAGCGATGAAAGCCTACAGTGTAGACAAGAACATGCATTTATTTATATCATGAAAACACAGCTCACCTCAGTAAATAAAACTCAATCTTGGCATACATAACACATGATTTTCCACTTTCACATTTCCCAAAGTCATATTTATTCATTCAAAACTTAAGTGTGTAAATCCTTTCTGAATAGTTTTACACCTCTTTTTGCAAAGTGTAAGCTCTTTTATAAGCAAAGTGACTTTCTGCTTCATCAGGAAGTTCTAAGATATTCTGAATGCCACTTTAGACATTTTGATTTCAGCATCTGCTAGTAAATTTCTAGCTTTACATCTCAATTTGCTGTGTGACTTCCAGTTCAACCTGATGCTGCCTCACCACATTCTTGTATAGCAAATAGCATTTTCCTTCACAGATGTGGTTTAAATTCATCCTCATAAGGAAACATTCTCCCTAAAGCCTGGGGGAACATAACAGATGTTCATCACTTAAACTACGTTCTAGCCTTACTCTGAGGTGCTCCCATTACCCTCTTCATGGGATTAAGCTCAGTCCAGGAAAACCTTATAATAATAGAGTTCATATCCAAGTTCACTACTTACCGCAGAAACTCTCTGTTCCCAGTCGTGCTTATCGTCTGATAGGATCTCTCTTATTTTGTTTATGGATTCCTCAAGATCCCGGCTAGAATAAATCTGCAAATTTAAATACAGAATAGCATCATACTGCAAGATTTACTCCAGAAAATCAGACCACTTCCCAACTTCACTCTTACATCCTTTGCTCCTCAATGCTTAAATGTCATGTGCTAGCCTTGGATATGGCTGCTTTGTGAAGAATTTGCACCCATTTTCTGCAATCAAAAAAATACCAGATGCCCACAAGATGATTGAAGGATGATCTTTTATTACTTCACAGTTTTAAGCAGTATTCCTGTAGCTATTAGCAGCTGTATTTGTGAAGACCTACAGAAGATCATGAGTGGATATGTGTGCTGTTAAGCTGGCCCGAAGAGAAAGCTCTGGTGAAGGAGAGGGGATATGTGACACATCTCAGCTATTCAGCTAAATCTATTAGCAAACACACACTCACAACAGCAGCGATCCTGGAGACACAAGTCAGCTTTATTGCTTTCAGTTCCCAGATAATACAGATGAAATGCAGAGAGGCTCCTGCTGACTCAAGTTTCTGTTCAACCAGACTGCACTGTGTGGCATACACATCCAGTTCCAGCTTCGTGTCTATTCCTGTGATACCTCTGTCACAACCCTCCCATTCCCTCCACTTCTGAGGGTTTCACACAAACTACTGGCAGATACCACCATTTAAAACTTGCCTCCCTCTTAAGGAAGATTTGTCAACATCACAATGAAGCACAATTTTCCCAGTGAATAGTTGACTAGAACCTACTACGTTCCTTGTCTTTTTAGTACTGTGTGTTTTAATGTGTAATTCTACTTACCTGAACTGTTGGGACATCCTCAAATGCCTTAATGAAGTCTTCTTCATCCACAGCACCTGCCCCCTCTTTGGCTGCTGACACACAAATGAAAAAGCCTTTTCAATCTCCTTATCAACAAGAGAATCAATTCAGAAACCACCAGCTATCAAGGCACCTAATCAGGAGAAAGTTCACTATCCATGCAGCCTCAGAGTGCTCCAGATGTAATGAAAGCAGAGACAGGGAAATTCAATGCCAGGCACAGACCAGACATTCACAGCATCCTTCAACTCCTAGGCACAGAGGGCACATTAGGGAAGTCATTACAGTAGTCACTCAAGACTTAGGGGACCTAGTCTGAAAGATGAAAGGGAATATTTACTTTAATTATATAAGAGATTTTATTTTAAAGGATTTAATCCCATCTATTATAGATGAAGGTGCAGCTCTGACAGGTGCACAAACAGACAAATGTTAAGGAAGATAAATAGCCTCTGGAATACTAATCAGATTAGAGACTGTCTGGTATAGGGAACTCTCTCCATTTCTCTAGGTCACACGTAGAATTATAAGCACGTGCAAAATTATTGCTCAGTTTTCTTTCTGGACCTTCATTACCAGCAACCCCCAAAGGCCTTAGAAGAAATCCAATGTGTCGAGTTTAGATTATATGGGCAGAAGTTTAGCACGTAGCTGTAAGCAGCCTGCCTCAGTTCAACTACAGTTGCAGGCAAAAAGTCTACACACTGCAACACTGACATGATCAACTTATAGCCCTCAGCACAGAACCACAAAAGTACAACCTTTCAAAACCGCAAAACATGTCATAGGGATGTGGGGACAGCTTGGAAATTCATCCTACCAAAGTTCAGTCATGGCATGCAGACGATGTACACGTAAGGATTTCACAGGGGAAAAATTGTTACTGGATCCCTGGGGACAGTGTGGAAATCCTTGCAATATGCTCAAACAGGAACACTATAAATACTTCACATAAAGAGCAATTCACATATGCTATGGGCTTACTTGAAGACTTGGTGCCCAGCGCTGCAGACCCAAGTCGGCGGGTAGTCCCCATCCCAACTCTGCGCGAGTTTGCAGGGGCCTTTGAAGATGTAGAGGAGCTAGCTGAGGAAGGTCTGTTCCCATCCACGGAGTCTTCATCATCAAAAATTTTATCTGCCAAATAAAGCATACTCAGCTGTAACTGCGATGAAGCAAAGGGACGTCCCAAGGAACATGCCCACACAATGACAAACGTGCAGTATGTTCAGGTCTGCTCTGCTAACTCTCATCTCAGCAGTGTCTTCACACTAGAAATTCATGAATGGCCACCAGGTCACTAAACTCAATCCTTTGCTATTGCAACCACAAATGCATTGCTTTCAATGAATGCATTCAGATAAAAAGAATAAACTTCACATCATGAGCAGAAAGATGGAAGCCACAGATAGTACTTGGGGTGTCTACAGTCTGCATGTCTGATGTTTACACCTCTGATGTTTACCTTCTTTTGCCATGAGCTGGTGAAACTAAGATCAAGCACAAATCCACTATCTAAGCGTGGCAGGGATCAGGCAGCAGAGGCTGCTCTGTCACACCGCGCCAACAGCCTGTACCAGACCGAGAATAAACAGGGTAACCCAGGAAAGATTGCACGGCAACACTCGTGCTGTTGATAAACCACAGGCCATTAATCACTGAGCTACAAATCCACTTTAAATTTTTAAATGACCACCAGAGAATCTGTACAAGGAAATAGAAAATTCATAAAAAACATAAGGTGTATTAAAACTTACTGAATCCTATGTGTACATCGAAAGGGAAATGCAGCCTGTTCTTCCAAATGTGAACATAAATTAACTTAAAATGAATTACAGTCACTTTGATTCTCAGTGAAGGTCACTTCAATTCCAAAGGAGTGCTTATATTGCATTTTTGCACAGATTAGCTCACCCACTTAAAAAAACACCTTTAGGTTGAAAGGTGACAAAGTGTTTGGACAGCTGATATATATGGCACACTTGATTTATTGAGACCAGAAAGCCACCTCAGTCCCCATCACTTAGCTTCTCCACACTAACACTTCATTCAAGATTTGAGACCTGCTTCACGTCCATCCCTCTCCAAAAGTCCAAGGTACGCACCCTGTACTCGTTTCAGGAACATTTCCTTGGCAAAAACTTGAGCAGGTGCTTTAATCCATCCTTATTCAGGAAAGCACCTGGGAATATCTTGTAACAAATACAGGCTCCTACTGAGACACTAATGAGTGAAATTCAATATACGAGGTTGAGCTTTCTGAAAGTAAGAAAATAAATTGCTAACAGTATAGACATATTCTAGGGGAGGCAAAAGAACAGAAAGAGAAGTCTGTATTGTTCTCAGCCCAACAGCTTTAAGTAGTTTTCCATGCCCAATGTGGTATTGGCTCATTAGCAGCTGGACACAGAAAAACCATTACAGATCATCTACAAACCTAAAAAGCACATTTCAATGGACACAGAAAAACCATTACAGATCATCTAAAAACCTAAAAACCACATTTCCAATATGTACCCATGCACATGATGCCATACTCTAATCACAGCACAACACTGAAATTTTAGGTAGACAACAGCATCCAACAAGTTAAGAAAGGTGGCCAAGGACATATCTCCCCTTAGTTTTGATATTCAAAAAGTCTTGGAATATGGGAGAGGGCCAGAAAAAAGTAACATCTAAAGGGAAAGGGGTAATATAATAACACTACTTGAACAGTTGTTCAGGCAAAAGTGAACAAATGAACCTTAACATCAAGAAACTTAAGGTCACACAGCTAAGAACATAAGCCGCATTTAAGATGTGGGCTGTCACACACACAGTGCCTTAAGGCAGCCATGGGGACTCTGCTACCTCCCTATTGACACTGGTCATGTTCTGACATACACCATTCAAAAATAATTGGAAAAGAGCTCAGGGAAGGATCATGAGAATGATTAAAGGATTGGAAAACATGTTTTTAATTACATGAAAATTCACTGCAGGGGACTGTTTAGCCTGGCCAGATTCTTAACAAGTTGCTTGATTATATTGTGTTAACAGAGCAACTTGAGATTTATTAACGTAGTTTTCCAGTGTGATTTATTAATATTGTTTCTCACTTAATAGAAAAATATACAACAAGGCCACTGGCTGGAGGTTAAAAACAAATTAAATTCTGAACTGCCTTTTTTCCCCTCCCTTTCATCCCCCACCCCCTCCAACTCCCATTTTTTGGCAACAGTCACAGCACTGACTCCCTGCAAGGTAAGAAGGAGCATCACCCAGTGAACTCTACCACAGGCAGGTATTAAAAATCAATACTGATTTTTTTTACCTGAAAGATACAGTCTCGTTCAAACAGGAACTATTTCAAAAACATTATTTAGTGAGAGTCGCATAGCAGGTCATAGCAGATCAAAATAGACTTTAAAATGTCTAATCTCTGAAGTCTCTAGGAAGGGGTTTAAGTGATGCAGAAAGACCCACAGAGACCTTGAATACAAAAACTTCTGAGCAAAATTTTCACCAATTGCATTTATTTCAAAAGCTCATCTAGATGCTAAGCAAATTATTATCTGTTGTATGTATTACCAGCCAGGAGAAAGTCAGTCATGCTCAAAACAAAGGATACTTTACTACTTCAAAACCACTTTCATCTGGCAATAGAATTCTTCATCAGCTGCATTTCAGACTATCTATATGTCTTAGTTAATTCACTTCCTCTCTATCTGCATTTTTAAAGCCTCATCCCTCTGAAAGGAGAAGAGGGTGTGGTTTGCTATTTAATATAATAAATAAAAAAAATCAGGGAAACATTAAAAGAATCACACTCCTATGGCCTTCTAGCAATTACATCAACTATAATTTTGGTGTAAAACAGGCTTTTCTTAGCACTAGCTAAAAATAACAGACAAAAAAACCCAGCCAGTCTGCCCACAGTATTGGGGATGTTTGGATTACAATCATATCTTCCTGTTCATTAAGTCTACAATCTAAGCATTACATATTTATCAACTCGGAATATCCCTTCAACAACCCATCAGCGTTTTCTCCTCTGAGCAGTGCAGAATGCCAGCGCCACATTCAGAACTGCACATCAAGTCTTCCAGCAGCACGTGTGCAGGACAGAAAGAGAAACAAAGAACAGAACGAAACCTGAACATGGGAGTTCAGAAAATAAGAGAAAAACAGCCTACTATACACTACCACTTAAAAAAGCCTTTTTTCCTCCCGTCATTCATTGACTCCTGATCAAAATAATCATTTGAACTAGGATCATATTTTTTGCAGTCCATCTGCAAATCACAAGAGGGTAAATTCAGCATGGGTGTAACTCCCGTGACTCCAGCAGAGGTGCACCAAAGCGGAATCGGTGCCACATTCTAAAATTAAACAACCGTTGATGCTCTCCCATCCCAAGACACCCCCCCTCCCGCCAGTGCTCATTTACAAGGGCCACATCACACTCTCCGACAGAGACATGCCCTTTAAAAGAGGCCTTTGTCTGCTCACCACTCTGCTGTCTCAGAGAAACACAGACCACATTTTGCTTTACATTTTCAATTCCCTTTGCATTATTTAAGAAGGAAAAAAAGACACTTACAAGTACATATCCTCCTGCAAATAAGCTTCCTCAACATTCCTTCATATTTTCCATAGCGTGCCCAGATGTAACAGTGCTTCACCGCGCGCCGCGGCTTTCAGTCCAGAACATAATCAATCATTGCCCCTCGTATTCATTAAGCATGCTGTCTTCACACGTGGATTTAAACAGCTATGCCTTCAGTCCTCTCTCTACGACTGCGGCTCCGCAGGATTCTCATCAACACCCATTTCAGCCCAGGAAACTTCAGATCACTTCTAGGAAGGAAATTCCCTGCTAGCGAGGGGAACCCGGGACAAATAATCCGGGATGAAGCTGAGCTGGCTCTGCCTGGCTGGGCTGGCTTGCACTAGGAACCAGCCTGACTTTATCCCCTGGGAAGCGCTAACAGGAGCATCTCAACAGCTGTCATCGTTTGTCCATGACGAATAAATTTAGTCATTATTCATTTTAAAACGTAACCCCTTCAGGTCTGGGCAAGGTGTAAAATGGGGAGAAGAGACAGAGGTAGTTGTTCAGGAACCGCAGTAAATAAGGGCCAGCATTTCCCCTGCCTGAACCGCCAGCCTGGGACCTTTTAAAGCAAAGTAATTGAGTCTCAGATTTCCTTTCCAAGGAAAGGAGATGCTTTCTGGCTTTTAAAAGGCTTTAAGATGTCAGATTCAAATCTTTCAATAATTTACCTGTAAGCTTTAAAGAAGAGAGCTACTCTGTAGTGACTACAGAGTGCAAAAAGCAGCTTACAATCACGTCTGTTTCCAACAAAGATGCCCCGGAACGGTCTTTGGACCTGACTCTGCAAGATACCAAATCTGCTCCGGTACCAAAGGTACCAAACCCACTCTGGCCCAGCTGTGCCCCTTCATCGTGTCCCATGTCCAAGCGCTGGTGTTGCTGAAGTGGGCAAGCAACTTGCAAGAATTTCCTTTTACAGGACACCATCTTCCCCATCTTCAATTATACATTTAAATTTAAGCTGTTAAATCTCTAGTTTGACATCAACATAGACTGAAGCACCATGGCTAGAAGATGGAATCTACAGATGCTCTGCTTGCTCTGGAAGTACTCCTTTTTGCCAGACACAACCCAACATGCATCGGCCAATGTTTTTCCAAGAGACCCCTTGGACATCTCAGACCATGCCCTCCCCCCAAGACCCACAACTGGCCCCATTATCTCCAGCTGTAACCCCCATCAAACACAAAGCACAGCTCACTCTGCTGTGGGTGCACCCCCAGCCTCCAAAAGCGACAGCTACAGCTGAGGTTAAACACCTCTTCCCATGAACGCACACCAACCTACATGTGCCTCAGCTACAAGCCTGCTCAGCTCCAACATTTACAGGTATTGTATAGGTTTCTCCAGGAAAACGAGTTTATGAACCCACTGAAGATAAAGGGACACGTACATGCTCCTCAGCAGGACTCAGTGTTTAAAGACAAAGGAGTCACAGTCCCCAGCAGCAGAGTGCAGGCACAGCACATCATTATGGTTTCTCGCTTGGCCATCTCCCACAGTGTCCCAGCTGCTCTCTCCTCCTGGCCCCAGCCGT